ACAGGTGTTGATGTTTATGGTTTCTTTACTACAACTAATAACGCTGATATTGGAGGAAATTTAACATGTGTGGCTCTAACAGAAACATCAGACTCTAAATTAAAAGAAAATATCCAAGAGGTAAATACGAAAGAGTGTTATAAGGCAGTTAAATATATTAAGCCAAAAACATACAATTTTATTAAGGATGAAGACAAAAAGAGTCATATAGGATTTGTAGCAGACGACATAAAAGATGCTAAAATGCCTCCTAAATGGGACAACATAATATATTACAATGACGACGGCATGAAACTATTAGCGTATAATAAAATGGCTGTTGTGCTTTGGGGCTGTGTGCAAGAAATGCAAAAAGAAATAACTAATCTAAAAACAGAAGTTACTAAATTGAAGAATAAGGGAAAAGGCGAAGGAAAATAGTATAAGTATTATTATATATAGAATGGGAGCTAAATCTTCTAAATCTTGTGCCACGGAAAACATGCAACAAATAAACGAATTAGATATTAATGAAAAAACTAAAACAGATATATTATTATTCAATACTTTGAAGGATGTTATTGAAAGAGTTGAAAAGTTAGAAGAGAGGAAAAGCGACAAAATATATTATAAACTGCCACCTGTAACATTATGTAATTATTCAATCATTTGATTAATAATATTATAACTAAAGAAATATTATTAATCAACTTGTTCTAAAGATTTTAAATAATCTTGATGTTTTTGTGTTCGTTCGTGCTCTCTTTTATGACACTGTGTGTATGGACTACCGCATTCACAAATAAACCGTTGTCCCTTTTGTGCTTTTACTTTTTCTTTGTTCTTCTCACGATACAGTCTGTCCGTTTCTCGCTTTTTGTCTTTATTCTGTTCTCTGTAGATTTTATCATACTCTTTTTTTTCTTCTTTATGATGCAAACAATATTTCTTTTGATATTCTTGTATATGCTCTCTTGTATCCTCGGCATACTGTTTTTTGGTTCTTGATGGTATAGTTTTGTTCAACGATGCTTTCAATTTTTCTATATACTCTCTTTCAATTTTTCTTGCTTCCAATACGTCATTACACTGACGTTTATCTATTAATACCATTTCCCAATTATTGAACCCACCGTTTTCACGAATAAAACTATACAAATACAGATGATAACCGATTGCGTTCTTATTCTTACAAGCGGTCTTGTGTTGGCATTTCCTTTGAGTAAAATCTGTGGTATGACCTACGTAGCAGTCAGTAATGTTCAAATCTTTGCAAACAATTTTGTAAAAGTGTGTATTGTTATAGTCTATTGGTTTTCTAGGCATAGTTCTATAATATCTTATAAAGTGTCATTTCTTTATATGTCTTCATCATCAATGACTATTTTGGCATCAAACCTTTTGTAAAACATATCATTCACATTGGGCTTCATTAAGTTAATAAACAGGAAACTATACGGTTCTTCTGTTGCTATGTTATCGACTTCTAGTAATAACTTCTTTGCTTCTGAAAGGTTTTTAGTATCTGCTACGGTTGATTTCTGAATTAATACCGCACTCAATTCTTCAACCATTGTCTCAATTTCGCGATAGTTCCTTAGTCTGAAAAAGAATAACTGTCTACTATTAACACGAATAATTGGACTTAGCGCATTATACTTCTGCGTGGACGTTATTATGCAAATACTATTATGTCTCCCGCGCACATACAACTGATTTAATAATGGACTATTGCGCGAGAACGCTTTTGAATCAGCAAAGTCATCAACAATAATAAGTATTGAGTGTAATTTGTTATGGTCATTCTTTTTCTGATATTCTATTACCCTATGTTGTCTTTTTATAACTGCCTCCAATTCTTCTGGTATATACTCGTCAAACATACATTTTTCTTTCTCTAAATCAACCTTTAAATTATCTTGGATGTATTTTTTAACTGGTGTCCAATTGCTATCAACTGAAATTGAAGGGGACCAAATGTAAATTCTAGCAAACACATCCCTGTAAATGTCCAATATCATTGACTGTAATAGGATGCCCTTTCCAGAACCTGAGGGACCTGTTATTATTTGACTAAATGGTAGTCTCGGTGCTATTTCATACTTAGATTGTTTAAAATCATATTCTTTAACATTAACGGGTTTGACTATAGGAGTAATCATTATATAATATAATAATATGGATAAAATAAATTACAGCGATTATATTGATGTTATTGAGAACATTGAAGAAATACAAGATAAAATAACGCCTCCCAAATATCGCAGGTGTTGTTACTCCTTCTTGGAAGTTTGCAAAATAATGCTTGAATACTTTAAATACAATCACAAAAATAAATAATCTAACCTAGTTAAATGACAGACAACGAACAAAGGGAAGGAGGGTTAGAACTAACGCCTACAAGTCTGAGTTGTTTGCCTTGTAGGTGCAAAAAGAACACTTACCATAAGGAAACTAAACGCACCAATGAAGACAACAAGCAAACGATAATCATAGTTGAGGATAGGAGCAGTTATAAGGTCGGTCGCGGAGTGACTCCTGACAATAACATATTTAAACCAGACCAAACAGGAAGCGTTGGAATCTGTGACACAGGTTGGGGGGCAGGTAGAAAGCCTACACCAGAAGAATGCGACGAAAGGATTGAAAAGAATGCGGATGATATAAAGGAACTTAAGAGTAGAATAGAGAAGAAGATATATAAAACAGAAGAAGACATAAAAGAGATAAGGGAAGATGTTAAGAAACTAGACAAAGACGTTCATTTTATAAAGAAAAGGAATTTAAATTTAATGGATTAATAATACGTAAAGTTTAAAACCTAATATATATTGACAGTGTATAGTGCCATAAGTCACGAAGTCTCGCGAGGCTTCTGACGAAGCGACCCAGACATAAACATATAAAAAATTGCCGAATGGACCCCCATGCGCCCACGTGCTTTCATGATGAGAGGACTGAGAAAGGGAAGTATCTGACACTCTTATCTAATTTATCGTGTCATAAGCATACGATAATAATTAGTTTGGAGCTATGTTAAATCTTAAGGAAAATGGATACATCATAACATTTCGTTATGTTATGATATATTTTGTTAGCTAATTATATAATGCTTGTTGTATTTGGTGAAGTTAAAGAGGTCAAAGAACATCTCATTGAATGCAAGAGGTGCAAAAAGGAGTATCCGAGTAATAACTTTGTGATTGTCAGCAACAACAGTTATTCGTCAAACTGTAAGAACTGTAGAGAGGACTTAAGAAAGGAAGGCGAGAGGAGGAAGATTCAGAAGGTCTTACATGCGCGTTAAAACTTTTAAAACTTTTAATCTAGGTTTGTATATATGAGTGAATCCTCGCCAGAAGTCAAAAGCCCAATCAAGAAGTTAAAGGAAGAAGTTGCGGAACTAAGAGAATTACTTAGTAGTCTTGTTGAAAGAGTTGCCAAGTTAGAAGGTAACAAAGAGAATATTAAACCTAGCAATAACAAACCTAATATTATGGATGCTAACTATAATAATCGCAGGAGTGCCTATATAAGCAAACTTAATAATAAGGATATCAAACAACCCAAGGAAGAAACAATGAAATATTATAATGTTGTATATGATGCTGATAAGGATGTGTATTTTTAATGATAAATAATATTATTTATTAATATTATTTATCATTTGCCGTTAATAAAGTCTTGATGTTTCTTTGTTCTTTCGTGTTTTGCTCTGTTTGCTTTGGTATATGATGAGCCACACCCACATTCAACAGATGTTAGTTGCCATTGCTTTATTTTTTGCTTGTTGTTCTCTCGGTAAAGCTTATCACATTCTGGTTTCGTCCTTCCAGCACACAATTGTTGACACAGTCATTCGCTTGTATATGATAACCTTCACGCTTTAGGAGTTCTGACCTATTTTCGCACTTAAAGGCTTCAACAAGTTCAATTTTACAATTCTCTACCCCAAATTCATCAAACAAATTATAAACCGTAATTCTACCTAGTTTTTTACCATCATTGTGACTTCTGTATTCACTTCTATGCCGTGCCATTCGCATACTCAAATTCTCAGTTGTACTACCTACATAGCACTTGTTATAGCCTATGTCAGTTATTTTGTATATCTTTCCATTCTGATATTTATTCATATCCTTAACTATCTTAAGTTATCTTTTCTTTATATATCATACTGCACCCAAGCCCTGAACCCCTAAAAATCCCATAAATTCTATCAACCTAGGCACGCCTGTTGGGATATGATTCAAAAAAATGATAAAATGGATAAACCCCACCACGCCCGTTGGGAAAACATTTAAAGGAATACTTATATTAAATATGTAGTATGGAAACGGTCAAACGATGTAGCAGATGTAGGAAAGAGAAGGAGGAAGTTGAATTCAAGGAGGGGCGCCGAGTTTGTATCCCGTGCTCGGATGCTTGTAGAAAAAGTCAGCAGGACAACCCAGAAAAGGCGAGGGAGAAATGCCAAAGGTACTACGAGAAGAAGCGAGAAGACATATTAGACAAGAAAAGAGAAAAGACTTGGTGTGTCTTATGCGAAATGTATGTAGTCAAAGACCAATACCAGAGACATACAAAAACTATGAGACACCAGCACTATTTAAAATTAGAAGAAGGGGAGGAGTCTGATGTGGAAGATGCGAAAAATAAATTTTGGTGCGAGACTTGTAGAATTTGGTTAAGTAAGAAGACAAGGACATCGCATTATGGAACACCAAGACACCTTGAATTGGCACAACGAAGGCGGGGATAGTACTGCTTGATACATTCAATTTAAATTATTCAATGTATCAAGGAGTTTTTTTGTTTGTTTTGGTCGGAGGGGGGCTGAGCGTACGTAGTATGCCGACAGGCATCAGCAATCCTAACTATATCATCCTCTTGACCCATTAAACGGCGCAGAAGTTCTTACAGCCTGTAAGCCCTAAATGCCCTCCTGCGAGCGTGATGTACTCCCCGAACATGGACTCAACCCTGGGTAACCCCTCCCCCACCGGACTTCTCCGAGTAGCCCAGGGTGCGATCCGGAAGGATGGAACCAGGGCAAAAATCACCTGGGCCGGGTTTTAGAGTTTAGGGTTTAGGGTTAGGTTTAGGGTTTAGGGTTTAGGGTTTAGGGTGTAGGGTGTAGGGTTTAGGGTTTAGGGTTTAGGGTTTAGGGTTTAGGGTTTAGGGTTGATTCAGACTTCGAATCGAACTTCCCGCACTAAGTGCCAGGATGAAACGTCCGAGAGGCTTCACTATGAATACGACCGTGGGAGCCCGAAACCCTAAAGCGTGAAACCCTAAAGCCTGACCCTAAACCCTAGACCCTAGACCCTAAACCCTAAACCCTAAACCCTATACCCTAAACCCTAAACCCTAAACCCTAACTGGTGGGAGGGCGCTTCGGCACGAAGCCAGGGGGGTACTTGGGGCCTACGGTAGTAAAGATTTCTATAGGTTGCACGGGGATAGAAAAAAAGGAATGAGGGCCCCCAGAAGCTTAACCCTCGTTAGAACATTGCGTTTCTCAAAGGCTAAACCCTGAACCCTAAAACCTTAAACCCTCATTTAATATATTTGAGACACAAACAAACAAATAACAGCTTAAGATGGGAACCCTCATGCTTCATCATCTTGTGGGTTCATCGTAACCTTCTATCTCCCCCTAAAATTCCACTCTTTGGGCGTTTACTTAGGGGCTGAATACCCTAGCTCAAAACAGGTTAACCTTTGGTATAGCGTAGGATTCCATATAACCAAAAAAGGTTCAAGGTTACCTACCCAGTCCCTAAGTTTGCAGTGACCCCAAATTGTCTCAGCCTCTGTCTTCTAACCCCTTTTGTAAGCATCATCACGACTGTACATCCCAAACCAACGGTGCACAAACTAGCTCGAAGCCCTTCGCGGTCTCAGGGCTGTATACGACGAGAAACGAGGCTCAGGGTCCTGAGTGTGTGCCGATTTTGGTCTACATAGTATAGAGGCCTGAATGAGTCGAATTGGGATTAGGGGTTATTTCAATATATCTATGAAGGGACCATAAGGGAATACTAATCGTAATTAACTCGACCCCTATATTACTAGGCCCGGGAGTAACCTAGGAATCAAAAGGGTGCCCTTTTTGGGTTTAAGGGGATTAGAAGGGAACCCCAACCCCAAAAAAAAGGAAAAAAGGGCCTACTCCCGGTCCTAGATTCCTAGATTACCCTAAGGGTCCATGTACCTGTATAGTACATACTTGGGCCTTAAAGGGGTTCCTATATAGTAGCTTCCGGGCCCAAACATATACTATGTAGGTACATGGATCCTTAGGGTTACATGTGCAGGCACCACCGCACCCTCATCCTTGAAGAACAGCTGCGACGAGGATGACGCCCCCACAGATGATCAAGTTTCGGACGAGCTCCTCTGCCCTAAACCCTAAACCCTAAACACCCCAAACCCTAACTCCAAAAACCATGCATTCGCGCCCCTAAGCCCCACGTGAGCCCTGAAGCCGTAACCCCGAGCCCTAAGAATGAAAAACCCTTATAGTAGGGTATAGCTAAGGGTTTCGGGTTTCGGGTTCAGGCTTTGGGGTTTTCCGCTTACGGCTAGAGTGCCCAGGAACCTAGGAGTAGCAAGGTGCCCGTTTTTGCATAAAAGGGGTAAGGGCTTCAAAAAGGCGAGTAAGGGTTTAGGGTTTAGGGTTCAGGGTTTAGGGTTTAGGCTTCAGGGTTTAGTAGCGATGTAGGTGGGAAACCAGTGGCGATGGTGCCCAAAGACTTGCGCAGCCAGGTGTAGGGTTTAGGGTTTCGGGCTTCGGGTTTTAGGGTTGAGGGCACACTTGGAAACTTCTTCCGTCTCAGAGCCCCCGTGTTTAGACATGAACGTCTCATGGTTCCTTGTACTCTAGACCCTACACCTACCCGGAAACTTTCGACCCCGGACTCTAAATCAAGAAGAAGAAGAAGAACCCAAATCCTGTCACCGAAGCCCGCAAACTGAATGAAACCCCGGGGACTTGAAAAAACAGCCTGGACAGTAGTATAAACCCTGTGAGAATTTTTCAGGGAAAGGCTTAAGTACGTGACCTTGGGCCTTCGCCCCCACACCTAAAATGCTGAACCCCAAAGCCCAAACCCTTCACTACCAGGCATTGGGCTGTCGGGAATGAAGTTCGCCGAACGAAGGCCCTGTGCCGAAAAAAGAACCCTAAGACGCTAGGACCTTCTGCCCGTAACCCACCCCAGCCGAATCCCACCCCAGCCGAATCCCCTAAGATTCGAGGCCCTAACCCTAAACCCTAAACCCTAAACCCCAACGTTCAGTAGGGAAGCTATGGTTCTAGCCTTACTGAGGGCACTTAAGACCCTACTTATATAAGTACCCAAAGAGCCTTCAAGTAAGACCCAAGAGCCCCTAAACCCTAAACCCCAAACCCGAAACCCTAAACCCTAAACCCTAAACCCCCAATCCCTAAACCCTAAACCCCAAGAGACCCCAGCGCCGGCCTCGTCAATAACGCCGACCTGCTATCGGCAAAGATTGGATGCTTATGTTTATGGGGTCCCTAAACCCCTGAACCCTAAGCCCTTGAACCCTAAAACGCTAAACCCTGAGCCCTAAACCCTAAACCCTAAACCCTAAACCCGAAACCCTAAACCCTAAACCCTAAACCTTAAACCCTAAATTTCCAAGGTTTAGGAAGTTGAGGAAGCTTGGGGCTTCAGCTTTCTGCGGCCTAAGCCCTTTGCCCGGGCCCTAAACCCTAAACCCTAAACCCTAAACCCTAAACCCGAAAATAGGGATGAACGGGTTTAGGGCTTTGGGGTTATTGAAGCCTGGTTTTTTTTTGGATACGTTGTATAGAGTTGAGGGCTTATAATAGGTTCAAAGGATTCCTGGTCTATCGCCATTCGGGCTTATAGGAGTTGGGGCCTGTGAGGTTTCAGGGTTCAGGGTTGCTAGGGTTTACTTGGAGGTTCATGGTACTTAGTATCAAATATCTGTACCTATAAACTTATACCCATATTAGGGCACTTAAGGGGCTTATAAGTGGGTTACAAGTACAGATATAATTAGTTACTAAGTATCATGAACCTCCAAGTAGGGCTCAGGGTTTGGAGTTCAGGGGTGTCTCCGAGTCTTCCCTCCTTACAACTGAGTTATGGGTTTCGGCATGGGTTTAGGGTTTATAGGGTGAAGGGCCTATACAGTATAGGGTTTAGGGTACAAACAATAGCCTAAAACCCTCTAAGCCCGACCCCCAAACCCAATTTCTGGAGCAAGGCGGCCTGGAGAGCCATAGGCTTACAGTAAACCCACTCCACGCGGCTGGTGTAGGGCTTACGGTTTGCAGGGCTTCTGGGGGCTTACCAGCATGGGCTATCATACCCTATAACCCCTTAACATGGCCCTTTCATAGGGTTAACTGTAGGGATTCTAGGGCCGAACCTGCTCTTCCTGGTACTAGGGCCTGGAGGGTTTCTAGGGCTGGTAGGGCTTGTGGGCTTAAAGGGATTTAGGGGGTCTTGATAGGGTTTAGGGCTTAGGGGATCAGTGGCGGGCCTCTTCCCAGTACAAGAAGTCGAAGCTGTAAGGGAAAGCGCCGGCATAGCGGGTGTCAATCTGCCGAGCATGGGGCAGCAGAAACCCTAAACCCCTCTGGTATCGAAGTCGGAATAATTACTAATAATATTCCCCTGTATAACCCCTGTATACTTCTAATACATTAATGACCCCCCCCCCCCTCCCAAACCCCCATTCTAACTATGAAGGCCCCTATAATTATTGCCCTAAAAACTCACCCGAATCCTAAATCCTCTTTACTCAGATTCGGACCCCTAGTATAACCTTAAGGTCTAGTCCACATCTTGAAGGGGCATCGGTCTCGCTGTGAACGAAACACCCCAAGCCCCGAAACCTTAAAAAAAAAGGGGAGTGGGTAGCGGATCTTGGGACGTACCGGGGCTTTTTGGGACGTAGAGGCTTTTTGCAATCCGGAACTCTGAAAAATTGGGGGGCCTTTTGGGAACCGGGGGGGGTTTCCTTCCGGGCCCAAACAGGGATTTTGGGATGCCGTTTTGGGGTCCTAACCTAAACCCTAAACCCCTAAACCCCTAAACCCCTAAACCCCTAAACCCCTAAACCCCTAAACCCCTAAACCCCTAAACCCTAAACCCTGAACCGCTGCTTTGGTTTCGGGGGTCCCGGGCTTGTTGGGGGCTCTTCGGTGCGTTTTGGAGCCTGTGGCGGTCTCCTCATAGCCTTTGCGGAAATTTTCGAGTAATCCGAACCCTAAACCCTGAACACTGAACTGAGCATTGCTACCATGAACCCTAAATCCTATATCTTGAACCTTAAACCCAGAACCCTGAAACTTACACCCTAACATTCGTACTGCTGCCCTGCCTCCTTTCGCATCGTGGTCATCGTGTTGAAACGATCTGTGCCTGGACTAATCCCACATCCCAGCAACCCTAAACCCTAAACCCTAAACCCTAAACCCTAAACCCTAAACCCTAGTGTAGGGCCTTGGTCCGCATAGGTCCTGCCTACACGCGTAAATGAAATGTCCATCTTCGTTCGGGGGCTGGGGGCAGGGGAGCAGGTGATGAGTCATGGTTTAGGGTTTAGGGTTTGGGGTTGAGGGCGCTCGTACCAGGTTTTTGGGTCCTGAGACCCAAGCCCCTAAACCTGCCCCAAGCCTGCCCCAAACCCCCCGAACGCCCGTAAACCCTCAACCCCAAACCCCCATTCCCACCAGCTTACTAGAGCTCAAGACAAGCCCTGAAGGGATCCCCCCTGAATTCAAGGAGCATACCTAGCATAAACAAATCCGTAGGGTTTAGGGCTTAGGGTTGAGGGCTTCGAGTTTAGGTTAGATCGGGGTGACATGTAAGCTGGACGCCTTACTTTAGAGTTTCAAGAACCTGCAGAGCATCATCTGGTTTCGGGTATCGAGGATTTAGGGTACCCTCCGCCCCTGAACCAAGCCCTAAACCCTCAACCCTAAACCTAAACCCGAAACCCTAAACCCTAAACCCTAAACCCTAAACCCTAAACCCCAGCCTTGAACCCTAAACCCTAAACCCTAAACCCTAAACCCTAAACCCTAAACCCTAAACCCTAAACCCTAAACCCTAAACCCTAGCCTTGAACCCTCAGTCACTCGCCTCTGTTGGTCGAGGCCAATGACAGCTCGGCATTGAAGCGCGTGGCGGACAGGCCATCCGTCCTCCAAGCAGCATGGGCCATTATGCCCGCTACTTGGAGCAAGAGGGTTTAGGGTTTAGGGTTTGGGGTTTAGGGTTTAGGGCTTGGGGTTTAGGGTTTAGGGTACTTATGCCCTAATATGGTTATAAGTAAAGCCAATGAACCTCCAAGTAACACCTTGAAAGGCTCTTTGTAGGCTTGAGTATGGGGATTATTGGTCCGAACAGGCCTGGAAAGTCGAGACCCGGAGTGGCAAGGGAAATGTCCGAGGCAAGCCTAAACCCTAAACCCTAAACCCACAACCTTATAGGGTTTAGTGTTTACGGCTGAGGGTTTAAGGTTATAACCCCGCCAAGCCCCAAACCCCCAATTCTAAACCCCACAAACCCTGAATCCTTTTATGGGTCTTAATGTTGCGATTACATTCTACCCCCCCCCTATAAACCCTAAACCCTAAACCCTAAACCCTAAACCCTAAACCCTAAACCCTAAACCCTAAACCCTAAACCCTAAACCCTAAACGGGTGGTGCTGGCTTCGAGATTTTGTGCCAAGCGTCACTGTGCAGCCGCTCGGGAGGCTCTCCATGGTACCATTCACCACGCAGTCCTAAGACTGAGCATTTAGGGTTTAGGGTTTAGGGTTTAGGGTTTAGGGTTTAGGGTTTAGGGTTTAGGGTTTAGGGTTTAGGGTTTAGGGTTTTAGGGTTTAGGTTTAGGGTTTAGGGTTTTAGGGTTTAGGGTTTTAGGGTTTTAGGGTTTTAGGGTTTTAGGGTTTTAGGGTTTTAGGGTTTTAGGGTTTTAGGGTTTTAGGGTTTTAGGGTTGGGTTTTAGGGTTTTAGGTTTTTTAGGGTTTAGGGTTTAGGAGGAATGTTTTAGGTTTAGGGTTTTGCGGTTTGGGGGGGGGGGGGGGGGGTTCCGGATCTGTAGAGGTTTGAGGATTTAAGGGGGGGTTTAAGGGTCTAGGGGGGCTTAAGGATCTCCAGGGGTTAAGGATTTAGGGGCCTGAAACAGCAGTAAACAATGAAACTTTCTGATCCAAAACCACCATTTTTGCACTCGAAATCAATGAGTATGTTAGTGTATGCACCCACTTGAACAGAGACTGGTGACAGCAGTGGAAGTGTTGTAAATGCACCGAATACTCAACATGTCAACGCAACTATTGTACGTAAGATCCCACCCCATAAACTTCCTCATCTAGCTCACACAGCATCTAGATCAGTGCAGAGCTACGTTAAGCACACAAACCATCTGTAGTTCGGCCATGAAAGACAAGAGCTCGACAATTCCCACCACCAATAAGCGGGTTCCTCCTCCAGACTTTTTGAAAAAGTTTGAACTGGTTAAACTTATCAAACGTTCTCTGATTCCAATTGGTCATGTAGTTTCATTGCGGGGCTTTAGAATTTTCGGGCTAGGGTTTCAGGTTCGTGGGGTTTAGGGTTTAGGGTTTCAAGTCCTATCTGGCACTTCCATCCATCACAGATCTGACCCCCAAGTTCTTCTCTTGCTGTCAGGGGCCCTGTAGAGGGTCTGTAGGGAAGCGACCAAAAGGAAGAAGGAAGGTATTGGGCTCCTAAGGCACGCCCCGCCCCCCCCCCCTCCCCCAAGAGTGCACGATACATAGGTCTATCGACCCTCAGCGTGCAAAGTCCAGGCGCCAGAGCTAAGATTCTAAGATTCAGGGTTCGGGGTTTAGGCTCTAGGGAACTGCGCAAAAGGGTTGAGAGGGCTTCAGGTTTGAGGGTGGCAGCGAAGAATGGATTTTGCTGTGTATAGATGAGCCTCTTCTAAGCAGTATGGGGCTTCCTACCAGCATCTCAGAAGACTCTGATGGGTGAAAACTACCCAAGCCCTAAACCCTAAACCCTAAACCCTAAACCCTAAACCCTAAGCCTCAAATAATCCTACAAGTGAGCCCTACAACTCGGCCTCTCGTGCCACGCGGCCTCGTCGGTCCACTTGATGGAGTTCCGGTAGCGGGAGCCCACAGTGTTGCGGTACCTTGGCAGGTCTGGGTCAAGGGTCGAATTAGGCTTCAGGGTTCAGGGTTCAGGGTTCAGGGTTCAGGGTTCAGGTTTCAGGGTTTAGGGTTTAGGGTTTAGGGTTTAGGGTGTCTGCCAACGAGCCGAACCCCTATAAGTCACTACAAGCCCTGAACCCTCCCCAGGCGCCCTGAACAGCCCTATTAATCCCTAAGCCCCTCAAACATGCGCGGAGCAGCCAGAAGTGGAGGGCCGGGTAGAACTCGGCGCGATTCTGGCGGAACGGCTTGGGATGGTGATAAGGGTGCAGAGGACCCACTCTGCACCCAGGAGTCGATCGAAGTTGCACCCTGAACACTAACCACAGATAGGAATGCACTCTAAACCCTAAAACCTAATTAAACCCTAAACCCTAAACCCTAAACCCTAAACCCCCAACATGGCAACCCCCCATCCCGCCGCGAAGACCGCAGAAGCATCGCTTCGAGAAGGCGTGAAGGTGGCGGAAAGCGTCTCAGCCTGCCAAGCTTAAGTTTCAAAAATTGGGTTTAGGGTTTAGGGTTTATGGCTTAGGGTTTAGGGTTCGTTTGCCTCGGACGGGAAAGTCGCGCAATGTTTGGAAGAATAGGGTTCAGGGAAACCATCAACTCTGAACCGAAAACCTACAAAACCGGAAACACTCAAAGCTTAGAGTCTCCTGTGCATGGGGACATAGGCGTTGGGATTGGTGGGGGTGGGGGGGCGTCCCAAAGACCCCCCTGGACCCAAACAGGGCTGGTGTTTAATGTTTCTGTTTTAGGGCCATTTTGGGGGGGACATATAGTAGGCATGAAGTTGATGCAAAGGTGCGCTGCTGCTAGAAATCACTATTCGTAACACAAGCCCTAAACCACAAACCCCAAACTCAATCTTGAGCGATGAAGCCTAATTGTTCATACAAACTCAAACCGAAGAAGCCAAGAAAAGACCCCTCTATATAGAACCAAAAAAAATAACCCCTGAACCCTAAAACACTAACCCTAAACATTCAGAGACTCTGGCTGCTCCGGAACAAACCCTGCTATATTGGATGATTAGTAGATGGGGGGCTCCCTTACAACCCCCAGAAAAGGAAACACACACCAAGTATCCCTTAACCCTTAACCCTAAACCCTAAACCCTAAACCCTAAACCCCGAGTTACACGCCGAGACCTGGTTGGGCTCGGTCGCCCACTCCATGAACTCTCGGTACCAGCTATCGACCACCACGTCCTGAAGTTTGTGCTTCGGGCTTTCGGGCTTTCGGGCTTTAGGGTTTCGGGTTTCGGGTTTCGGGTTTGGGTGGGTATGAATCAAGGGACTCGACCTTGGATCCCTGGTACTCGTGGGTTTGGGGACCCCTGTTGAAGGTCCCTAAGGTAGTATAAGCGCCATACTAGGAGTATACTAAGGGAAGCCGGTAGGGGGTACAACCTTAGGGGTACGAGTCAGAATCCCTTGAATGAGTCTTTGGGGTTGCTAAGTTATATGGGGTACGTAGTTGAATTCTGGCTAGGGGCTTGGCTTCGTATTGGAGACAAGGCAAACCATGAAACTACTGAGCGTCCGAGACTGTACGGACCAGTCTCGGGTATGGGCTGTTTTGGGGAACTCTGAACTGAACTAACTTTTCTGCACTAGAGAACCCCCAAACACCAAACCCTCAAACACCCCACACCAGTTTGGCTTCGCGGCATGGGTCTTCAAACAAGGACACTTCAGCCAAGAGGATTTCGGGCTTGGGGGTCAGGATGTAGGGGTCAAGGTTTACCAGAATAAGGAAACGAGCTTTCGGAGCGTTTAGGACCTTAGGAAATACACAAACCCCCCGATAAACACTATAGACCCATGGCAGTAGCTTAACACAAGCTTCATGCCCCGAGCCCCAAAACCTTGGTGGCCCAGTAACCAGCTTATAACAAGGGTAGCCTTTTTTGGTTTCTGGTGTTAGTCTTTTATAAGGGAGCCCATAACCCAAAAAGGGCCCAAAAGGGCACCACTCACCCACCCAGAAACCCTAACCCCCTAAACCCTGAACTTTTCGCCCGCAACGCGTGTCCTGGTTGATGAGGCTCGAGGAGTTCAGGTATGAGTAGACGTCGTGCCTGGTCCGAGATGCAATCGGCTCTTCGGGCGTTTTAGGGTTTAGGGTTTGGGGTTTAGGGTTTAGGGTTTCGGACTTAGGCTTAGGGATTCGGGATAGTTTTGGGCCTGCATAGGCAGAGTCTAGAGTTCAGACCACTGTTCCTCACTCAACCGCCTAAACCCTAAACCCTAAACCCTAAACCCTAAACCCTAAACCCTAAACCCTGAACCCTAATAAACCCCTAAATTCCGAACCCTGAACCCACAGGGTTGGGAGTCGGTATTGGGGTTTGGGGCTTCCGTCGTGTGGCAGATTCTGCTGCTGCGCGAACGTGTCCGCGGTTCCCGGGAAGTTCACCGTGATTGCGGTGCCTGCGGGAAGGACTTTCCGAACTTCGGGGTATCCTACTGGGGTCCTGAGTCCTTACGTTAAGGGGAATCCTACTATTTGGGGGGACACAAAAGGGGTCCCTAATTTTCGTAAACCCCCAGATGATATTTCGGCTGTGGACTTAGGGTCTAGGATTTTCGGGTTGGGGGTGTAGGTGTTCAGAGAAGATTTCGTCCTACCTGGACCCTGACTCTCCTGCGAGGGTTTGCCCCTAAACCCTACAACCTAAACCAGGGTTTCTAGGCAACGGTTTCTGTAGGGTTTAGAGCGTACAGGGTTTGGGGCTCAGTGCTACAGATGTCCCTCGAACCATAGAATTGGCTACCCCTCCCCTGACGTGAGGATCTACAATCACTTACAAAGGGATCCGGTACTTCCTTGGAGGTTCATGGCTACCTACAAGTAGCGTTTTGGGTTATAGGGTAACTATGAATATATAAACCTATATCTTTTTCGGGTAGCTAGTTGCAGGGGTGCAGGAGCACATAGCCTCTAGAGCCCCAACAAAACTTTACTTTTCCCCTGCTTATGTAAACAAAACCTAAGCCCTAAGCCCCAAAACCCCGCCCTAAACTAATTCCTTGCCAGGGACTCTAAAGAGGGAGAGGGGGTGCGGCGTGGCCGGAGCGGCTTGAATCTAAACGTGAACCCTCGGCCGTAGACCCTATATGCACCCTGAACACCACTACGCCTAGCTTGCGAAGACCAACCCTAGCCCTTTTTTCTCTGCCGCCTCTACCCGATGGGGGCGGCCAGGGGTTGTTCTTCGCAATATCGTCTGTCAAGTAACCCGTTTAACAAGCGATATCGCACTGTCATGTTAAGAGAAGGATCCCTAAACCCTGAGCCCTTGCAACAAGTGCCCTCGAAAGCGAGCCGAGTTCAGAACCAGCCTTCATCCTGGTGCTTGGAATCCTAGCAGGGCCTACTCCAAGACATTTTGAAGTTTATGGTCGGGAGGGAACAAGAAGACGAGGTGCCCCAAACAAAAACCCACACTAAATGGTTAAGAGTCCAGGAGTACTTGAGGTTCATGGGTGCTTAAACGTAGGGCTGCAAGTACCGTAAATAAGGTCATAAGGTTATAACCATAATTGCACTGCTTATAAGTACCCATGAACCTCCAAGTAGTATAGGGGCCTTAAGGATTCGAACAGTTCTTTGTTTTTTTTTTTTTTTTTTTTTGGGGGGGGGGGGGGGTGATTATAGTACAATTACAAAGGGACCCTAAGAAAATACTATTAGTAATTATTCCGACCCCCATAGTAAACCCTAAACCCTACACCCTAAGCAGCAGAGCCGTGCCTGTGGCGAAGTACTGGGTGTTGATGTTGAAGAACTCGTTCCTTGGGCGGGTGCTTTGGAGGCTATTTTGATACCCTAAGCCCTAAACCCTAAACCCCAAACGCTAAACCCCGAACCTTAAAACTGCGTAAGCTCACTCAGCTCTTTGAGCCCTTTGAGCCTTAGCGGCCCTGCACTACCTGCGGCCTAAAATTCAGGGTTGAAGGTTCAGGGTACGTAACTCTAAACCCTAAACCCTAAACCTTAAACCCAAAACCCTAAACCCCACGACGGGAACCAACTTGCTGCACCCCGACAGGCCCTAACAGGGGCAAGCCCATAGGACCCCTAAACCCTAAACCCCGAAACGCCTAACTTTTCCCCTTAAACGCAGGTCTGTTGTCCCCGAGCAAAGTCTCCACTGGAGGAACGTTTCGGGCGGAAGCATCCCAGGGAAGGATGTCATCGGTTGGTGGGGGGGGGGTGTGGGGGGGGGGGTGGGGGGGGGGGGGGGGGGTGGGGGGGGGGGGGGGTGGGGGGGGGGGGTGCAGGGTTTCGGGTTCAGGCGGGCAGGGGTTTTGGGCTTTAGGGAGTTTAGGGTTCCGGGGGCCTTCAACAGTAGAATAGGGTTTGGGGGATACTATGGTATAAGTTCATAGGGACCAGACGGGGTGCTATTCTGTAACTATTCAGACCCCAATATTCGGGGCTTAGGGTGTAGTGGCCAAGGGGTACTTAAGCTCTGCCTTCTGAACTGACAGTGACAAGCGCAACCCCCCACCTCTTTAGGTTTAGGGGTTAGGGGTTAGGGTCTAATTAGGGTTTAGGGTTTACCGGGTGCCTCTTTGGGGTTCCTAGTCAGGATGCTAGTGCTGAACAGTATACCCTCAAGCTCTTTTTGGGAACTACCCGCCTTTGCATGTGCGGCCAAGAGTCACGTAGGAGGAGTCCGGAATGAACCACTCCAACTTGAAATCCTGCGCTCAGATCTTCTTGTTTCAGGAGCCTGTTTAGAATGTGTTTTAGGTGAAGGGTGTCGAATTCGGAATTCAGAGGCTTGTCCAATTTTGGAATGACTAGATTGTGTCTTTTGGGCGATTTTACGTTGCAGTATGCATGAGTTCCGGGGATAATGCGGGCAATGATTTAGGCTCCCGGACTACGAGCCACGATTGGACTTCAAGGAATCCGCCGTGCGCAGTGGATGGTCCGTTTGACGCTCGCCGCTAGGGGTTTAGATCCTAAAGGTTGCGGGTTTTGGGTTCGGTTCTGCGTGTCCGTCTACATGACACGCAACACAGAAAGCCCAAAGCTCGACCCCAAACCCCGAAGCCAACATCGCAACAAGGATACCCAAAACCCAAAACCCAAAACCCAAAACCCAAAACCCAAAACCCAAAACCCAAAACCCAAAACCCAAAACCCAAAACCCAAACCCTAAACCCTAAACCCTAAGGATAAGATTGGCCTTGTAAATCAACGTGGATCCATAGATTCCGGCCACCGCCACGCCAAAGAACACCACGAAGGTAACGATCTGCCACAGGGCACAGAGCAATCTCACCTAAACCCTGAGCCCTAAGCCCTAAGCCCTAAACCCCAAACCCCTAAACCCGACAGCCTGCTTAGAGGTTCATGGGTACTTACAACCCCAAATAAGTCTACTTACAACCTGCTTGGAGGACTTAGGGGACTTAGGGGGGCCTATAAGTACAGTTACATTGGGGTTATAGGCACCCTAACCCTGAACCCGAACAGGGCGTGCTTATCACGGCGTTCCGAGTTTTGGAGTGCTGGAAACTTAGAGGGGTCCTAGCGCCCATTTTGGCACGAAGGAGGCTTTAGGGTTTGGGGTGTAGGGGTTAGCTGCAAGTTTGGCTAAGCAGCTCCGTACAAGAAGGCCAGCTGATTCCCGGGCCCCTCTAGCTTGTAAGCTTGTGTAAATCTGGGCTTCTTTCTGGGGGGGGGGGGGCTTGGGGGGGGGGGGTTAGAAGGGACTTGATTCTCCGGCGGTGCGTCGTCGAATTCAGCCCCTGGGGCTGTGCCGTGCCTCCCATTCAAGGTGGTCGAACTTGGAAGTTGCCGCTGCGCGGCGAAACACCCTAAATCCCAAAACCCTACCAGAAAAGACTTCGATTGAGGGTCCATGTGGTCGCCTTCCCTTCAAAGTTGCCTTCCCAAGGAAACCCAGAAGCTCAAGGTTAGGACCTTCGACTCGGAACAAGTGTGTAAATAGCCCGTAAACCCGAAGACCCTAAACGCTAAAACACTAAACCCTAAGACCCTAAACCCTAAAACCCTAAAGCTCGCCCCGTTGGGGCTTAGGGTTCTATGTGGGCCGTCCTTCTACATGGTAGGCCCCTTTCTGGGCGGGAGGTGTCTCACTCGTGAGCCTATGAAGCCTTCAGCTGAAGCCAGAAAACTGCATGTACTTGAAGCCTGTAAAGCCTACAACGCGAAGCAATCACCCTAAAGCCTAAACCCTAGCCTGAAGCCCTAAACCCTACATCCCAAACCCAAACCGCACGGAGCCTGGCCGACGGGCGCCGTGATGATCTCTGCAAAGCGCTTCAGTCCTCTGTTGCTCTCATCGGGGGCGAGGTACTTGAAGGTTCATGGGTACTTGTAAGTACGGTTGTAAGTACCCTAAATAAGGTTATCACCATAGTTCCCCTACTTAACAAACCCTACTTCTAAGTACCCGCAAACCTCCAAGTAGTCCAGGAACTATATGAAACCCTAAACCCCCTGCGCCCTCTTCAGCTCTGAAGGGGGGGGGGGGGGGGGGCGGGGTACCGAAGCCCCCTCAACCCTGAAGTGTCTTGTGCAGTCTACGTGATGTTGCCCTCGCCTTCACCCGAACAAAAAACCAACATACTAGTTCAACTGCTTCAGGTGCCAGAGCCCGGCAAGTCCTCGTTTCAAGAGGCCGCCCTGGTACGCCTGCCAGCAAAGTCATTCTTGGGGTGTAATTAGAGCTGACGAAGCTTCATTCTGTACTGCCACACTTGCTCTTGCATCCCTGTCATAAGAATGTCCAGCCGACTCTCATAATAACCACCTAGAGCACTTATCTCTAAACCCTAAACTACCGCCCCCTCCCAAAAAAACCCAAAACGCTTGGGAGTCAGGTCTTCTCGATTCCTTGCTTCTGTGGCTTGCCTCCCCAGGAATCTACGAAAATATCGGCTTAGCGGCTTTAGGGTTGCCCCTACTTTGGAGTAAACCCTGGAAAAAAGACATACTGTTCAGGCATACGTAGCTATAATCGTCGATGAACCAAAAAAGTATCAGAGTATAGTACTCCAAAGCCCAGGTGTGTTTACAAATACGGATGTGCACATTTATATATATAGGGATTCTTAAATCCTAAACCCTAGACCTGAAATCCGAAGCCCTCTCTCCGAAATGCGTTGTCGAGGGTTGAACTCTTGGAGCTCTCTGATCCTCTCAAATCCCAGCACGTTCTTTGGGTTTGGGGAGTAGGGTTTTTGGGCTTAGCAATGTAGGGTTGAACCCTTTATGGCTTTAGAGTTGAGGAGTTGAGGGTTTAAAGCTAAAGCCCTCAAACCTAAAAGCTCGAAAAGAGCGAACATATCACACCCAGGGAACCCTACAAACCGGAACACACACACACACAAACACACAAGGGAAGTTAGACAATGCCCACAAAGGGGCCCTAAACCCTAAACCCTAAACCCTAAACCCTAAACCCTAAACCCTAAACCCTAAACCCTAAACCCTAAACCCTAAACCCTAAACCCTAAACCCTAAACCACCTAGCTAGTTCATCCCCCGGCCAGGTTTCATGCCCTGCCTTGGAAGGCAAGCAGAAGCCTCCAAGATGCGAGGTCTCGGGGTCAAGGGTTGGGGTTTGGGGCTTTAGGGTTTAGGGTTTAGGTTTGAAGGTGTAGGGTGTAGGGTTTAGGGCTAGCACAGGTACGAGCTGCAGCCCAAAACAGACTGCAGCACAGAGCTCTGAGGCTCTGAGGTGCTCAAGATAGCAAGCTGTCGCGAGCATAAATGGCAACGCAGGGTCGGTCGCTTTTCGCAAGCGCCACGTTGAATACCCCCAACGTACGAAGGCATGGAACTGCAGGTGTACTTTGACCTCCTTGTTCGAGTTTTGAGGACCGGTGCCACTACTTGCACAGAAACGTTGTCCACAGCGATGCCTCCGACTTAGTACTGGCTGGCAAGTGCCCAGAGATCTCTTCCTGTCATCAACTCGTGTGTCAGGAATTCTGGTTTGTTCGGAACGCGTCGCGTGCCGGCCAAGATACTACAGCTGACAACTCGGTCAGCGACTGCACGAGCCGCCCCGGTGACAAAAGACTGCCAGGCATGTTGCCGGCACAGCCTCCCCAAGTATTGCGCCTCCATATCCCAAACCTTTAACCCAGAAGGGTTTAGGGTTTAGGGTTTAGGGCTTAGGGTTTAGGAAGGCTGCAGAGATTTCCAGGGGTGGAGGCTTCCCTGACTCAGGGGTTGCAGCATTGCAAGATCTTGCCGGACATAAGGACACAAGTTGCCCCTGGAAGTATAGGGCTAGAGCCGGCAGTACTTCGAGAAACTCGCTCTTGCAGGGTGACCTTTGGGCCCTAGGCGGGGTTTAGGGTTTAGGGTTTGGGGTTTAGGGTTTGGGGTTCAGGGTTAACAGCCCACAAAAATCTTACTCAGCACCTAAGGTTTCCCACTTGTCCATGCCCTTGCGGAATGCATGCAGCATGTGGCAAAATGCCAAGCATGCAGGTCAAACGACTGCCCTCTGCCATAGATTTCATCTTGCAATATACTAGGCCATGAAGCACCTCACAAAAAACACAACAAGTAAGAAGGGTCTGGGTAGGGCCAGCAGGACTTTCAGCCAAAACCAAACGGAGATCGTAATTCCAACCCTAGAAGACCCACGAACTGGGTACTGTTGCTCTCTTTGTAAGTCCTTAAGGGTATTCTATGGGCACCAACATCCCGAGATACCTATTCAGAGCCAGGCAAAAAACAAATTCGCAAGTGTAACCCCCCAAAAGCCTGAACCATCCCTCAAGCCGAAGGTCCTGAACTTGAATCCCCCCCCCCATTATCTCTTGAACTCCCTGAACCCTTCAGCCAGTAAGGACTCTTTGGTTACCCCAAGCTCTAAACCAAGGAAAAGAAAAGTCAGATGATAGTCAGAATCCTAACCCCCTAAAAAGGGCCCTAAAGCCTAGGCCTAAACCACCCAAAAAACCTTAAACCCCCGACCCCCCTAAAACACCCTAAGCCCTAAACCCTAAACCCCAATCCAGCCATAAGCCAGGGCGCAGCAGCAGCCTTTCGGCTCGTCCAAAGGTCGCGCGGACGCCCGGAAGCCTTGGGCAACTCAAGAAGACCACGCAAACTGTAAACGTACTTTAGGGTTTAGGGTTCGCGTTTAGGGTTTCGGGTGCAGGACATGCACAAACGTATCCTTCCAGGACCCCACTACGGCGTCGAAGGGGCTTTCGTAAACCTATGCTAGGTCCTTGGAAGTACAGAGTATGCGTACGAATATATGCGTGTATATATATATATGTATATATATAGGTATACGTCTAACTATGCAGTTGCACATCACACATAAGTATGACGTTCTACACGCAAACACACACGCACACACAGACATACACATCTATATATATATATATATATGTATATACATATATATGTGTGTGTACACACGTGTATACATGCATGTACACAGGTAGGTACGCATGTGTGTATGCACCTCCGTCTGTCTGTCTGGCTGTCTGTATGTATGCATGGACGGATGTATATAGGCGTATGTATGTACATACATATCTGATCAGTAAATGTGTATCTATGTGCATATGTATATTGGTATGTGAACAAGTATACGCATGCACAAGTATGTCTGATTGTATGTACATAAACCGTATGTATGCACGTATGTATGCAGGTATGTAGGTCGTCTGCGGGTATGCGCGTATACGTACATAACATATATATATATATATATATATATATGTATGTGTATATATATAATTATACTAGATACACACACACATATATATATATATATATATGCGTGTAGCATTGTTTGTGCATGTGTGTGCGCTCTTGTCGGCACTGTAAACAAAACCAAGTAGGGCCTTTCGCTTGTCTTTCCCACGTTTCCGGGTTCGGGGGGAAGGGTCGCAAAAGGTGCTTGGCTTCGGGTTTAGGGTTCAGGGTTCAGGGTTCAGGGCTCAGGGCTTAGGGTTTAGGGTTTTGGGGATCTTTTACTCGAAGCCCTAACTTTCTCCAAACGCGAGCAAAAGCACAGAAACCCCCCCCCCCCCCCCCAAGAACCCATGAACTCCTTACTACAAAACTGCAGTCAAGACTCTGCTGTCTAAGGTTAAAGGTAAGGCCAGGCCGGAAATCCCAAAAAACCACCACCCGCAAGTAGCACGGACGACAACGAAGCCAGGCGGCAGCAGCAGCAGTCCACGCGGTTCGCTTCCACGCCTCGGCACTCTGCGCAGGAAAGGGGTCATCGTTCTAGGGCCTAGAGGGTTTAGGGCTTAGGGTGTTGGGGTGTTGGGGTTTAGGGTTTTAAGGTTTAGGGTTCAGGGCCTAGGGTGTTGGGGTTTGGGGTTTAGGGCTTGGGGTTTAGGGTTTGGGGCTTGGGGCTTAGGGCCTAGGGCATCGACTTCGGGGATTGGAGGAAGCCTCCAGACCTCAAGCTCAAGCTCTAGAGGCTACAACAGAGATGCCTTATGAAATGACATCTATCCCTAAGGGTCCATGTACCTATATAGGGAACACTTGGGCTTTGAAGTACTTCCTGTATAGGGACTTTGGGGCCCAAGTGTAAAACGGAAGCCGTACCCTAAACCCTAAACCCTAAACCCTAAACCCCCCTCCCGCGGTGCGAGGCAGGGACGGTAGGCGTTGAGCGCCAACGCCGGCAGAAACACTGTCAGCTGGAAGGTGAAGCAAAGAATGATGGAGACACCTGGAACCCCTAAACCCTAAACCTTAAACCCTAAACCCTAAACCCTAAAGCACTTCTCTGAATTGCAGGTTTCGGAGCTTTATGGGTATATGTGCAGAAAAATCTGATCTCTTCTCCGACTTAAAGGGTTGTACGAGGGTTGCCCCTGAGTAGGGTTTAAGGACGGTTTCGGGCGTAGCTTCAGCGACATAGTTGGACCGGGGGGTGCGGGGAGTGCTTGTTCTACTTCTGTCTTCTTATCGCTAGGATGGTTATAGTAGTGCTAGCAAGTTAGTCAGTCCTGAAGTATATTCGTTGCTGTTTTTTTTTTTTTTTTTGGGGGGGGGGGGGGGGGGGGGTGTCCGATGCGAGCAGCACCCTACAGGCACAACTCTCGGAGTTGAGAGTGGAACTGGGCATGGCTGGCGAAAACAGCTGCCTCTTAGCCGAGCATCGAACAAAATCCCTACAAAGCTACATGATTTAGGGCTTGGGGTTCAAGGCTTGCAAGGGACAACCCCTACACCCAAAGCCTGTAGCAAAGGATTTTGGCGGCTTTGAGGCACGGGTACAGGGTGGGGCCCCCTTACTATGCTAACTGTAGTTAAGGGACTTATAACCTAACTTAGGGTCCTTATAACCCAATTTAGGGCCCTTATAACTCTACTTATAACTAGGGGGCCCCACCCTGTAGTTGTTTTTGGCGAGGGAGGGGCGTGTAAGGTCTTTGGGGTGTAGGGTTGTAGGTGCTCGAGATGAAGCTAAACCCTAAACCCTAAACCCTAAACCCTAAACCCTAAACCCTAAACCCTAAACCCGAAACCCTAATCTGGAGATCTGCTCCAGGTTTCTGGTCTTGGGTTCATTCTGGGACTCCGTCTCAGAAACACGAGAGTGGAGCCGCCCTACCTGCGTAGGTGCAGAACCTCGGTGGCATGTTGGGCTTATGGGGCTTAGAGAAGGCCTTCAGGGCTTAGAGGTCTTGTAGGGCTTATGGGGCTTATAGGGTTGAGGGCCCACATGGTCTTCACTTCAGAGCCGATCCGCATCCGCAGCTGACCCCCCATGCAGAAAAAGTTGCGTAATGAGAGATGGAATGGTACCTGCCCCCAATATAGGGTTTATAGGGGTTCAGGGATCCTTGAGGATAGCTAGGCTTTAAGAAAGCTGTTGCTATATGGGGGGAGGCCTAACCTAACCCAAACTAGTTGGACTCCGGGACTTATGAAGGGGAATCCTCCATCCCAACGTGAAGCTTCTGAACCTAAAACCTTGGGAGTCCCAAAAATCCAAACACGCCTACACCCTACACCTTCCTACAAACGTCGTCCACAGCGGCTTCATAAAATGAGATTTAAAGAACGGTGTTAACTGCTGTTCACTAACACACGTATCCCCATTCAAAAACTACTACTTAACAAACCCTGACAAAACAGCTGTAAACCACTTAAAAACCCCCAACAGAGAAGCCCTAAGCCCTCTAACCCTGGCGAAGAAGCCCTGTCAACCCCTTAACCCTAACGACGAAGCAAGCACACCCGAAACCCCAACCCGAAACCCCAAACCCCAAACCCCAAACCCCAAACCCCAAACCCCAAACCCTAAACCCTAAACACCAAACCCCAAACCCCAAACCCTAAACCCCAAACCCTAAGCCCCAAACAGTGCGGCCGGGAAGCCAGCCCAGCGCCGGCAGCACCGTGGTGGCGCCCACCAGGAAGGCGAGGGCGTCGGTGGCCGAGGTAATCAGCACCTCTTGGGGAGCAACCAATTCGGGTTTAGGGTTTGGGGTTTAGGGTTTAGGGTTAAATAGGGTTTGGGATTTAGGGTTTGGGATTTAGGGTTCGCCGAGCGGCGTGTTGGATGGGTTTCGGCGGTGAACCTCCTGGGGGGGGGGGGGGGCGGGGGGGCATCGGGGCAGCTTTTCCGTGGAGGCCCCGCAACCCGACCCGTGCGACTTCAAGGACAATGGGAGCTGGGTGAGCATCCCAGGGCGGAAAGTCTTGAATTTGGGGTTTGGGGCCTGTTTTCTGGCCTCTGAAAATTGCCCGAACCCCCTGAGACCCCACCTACAACTGGCCTGACTAAGAGCTAGTTCGGACTGGAAAAGAGCTTCGCACAACAGCAATGCAAAAAGTGATAAGCCTCCCTCGACGTTGAGAGCATGCTATCCTAAACAATCATGGAGATCGGGTCGCTTTGCCCTCATCCGTGTTGGGAGTTACCCTGTGCTAGTTCGACCTGGGTACCCTAAACCCTATAAACCCTAATCCCTAATCCCCAAATCCCTAATCCCTAAACCCTAAACCCTTAACCCTGAACCCTAAACCAAGACCAAGCCGAGAGTCGGAGATGCCACCTGTGCGTGCCGTGCGCGCGATGCGCTCTTCAATGGGAAGATCCTCCCGCCGGATGGAAGGGCATCTGGAAAAACAGGGGGCTTGAATGAGGTTTAGGGTCTAGGGTTAGGGTTTAGGATTTAGGGTTTAGGGTGGGTTTAGGGTTTAGGATTTAGGGTTTAGGGTTTAGGATTTAGGGTTTAGGGTTACCCTAAAACCCTAAACCTAGTGCTTCACCGGAGTTACTTCAAATTCGGTAGGTGTGTCTCACCAGGTCGGAATCCCTCTTTTGCTCGAAGATTCAGAATTCTAGGTCCTGTGTATATAAGGACCCCCACAAGAAGACTATCCTGAAGCAGAAGCTCACATTTCCGAAAGGAACAATATGGTCGGCAAAGATTTCTCCCTAAAGCTCACCTCGTACACCCACAGCATGCATCCCGAAACCCTACACCCTAAACACATGGCCTCCCTACACACTTTCCCAAACAGCAGACCTTAAGACCATTCCGCAAATGGGCTCCCAATTTCGAAAACCTCAACACCAAAATCAGAGCGCAAACCAAAACCCTAAACCCTAAACCCCAAACCCCAAACCCAAAACCCCAAACCCCAAACCCAAAACCCTGACCCCTAAACTCCAAACCCTAACCCCCAAACCCTAAACCCCAAACCCCAAACCCTCTACCCCAAGGGCACTCCTTGTTTGCGCGGGTGTGCCCAAGGTACTCGGAGCTGAGGACGAACGCATCGTCGACTCCCAGCCCAAGTAGCAAGAAGTAGAGGTTGTTGTTGAGGTTTCCTGGGAGCTCAAGCCCTTTGAAGGCTTCGAGTATGCAAAGACTGGGGTTTAGGCTTGAAGTAGAGGTTGTTGTTGAGGTTTCCTTTTAAGGGTTTATAATACGCAGGGTTTGGGTTTAGGGGTTTAGCGTTTCGGGGTTCAGGGTTTACAAACTTATCAACTCCAAACCCGAACTCGGGTTGTGGAAATGAGGAGTTTCGGGTCTCAGGGTTTGGGCTTGAGCGCCTTCGCGGCTCATAGGATGTTCGGGTTCGAGGGTGCCTGGGGTTGCAGTGGTGTTGGGAAGTGCAAGGTGTTGGTGAGTTCAGAATATTTATGTAAACCCTAAACCCTACACCCTAAACCCTAAGCCTTAACCTTAAACCCTAAACCCTGAACCCTAAACCCTAAACCCTAAGCCAAAAACTGAACCCTGAATCGTGAACCCTGAACCTTGAACCCCTAAACCCTTGAAAAAGTTGAAACCTTGGGCCCTACCTGTGACTCCCAAAAACCCTACAAAATAGTAGGTGATAACCCCCCGAATTAGGGGGCACAACCCCCCCCAAAAATAGTGGGTAAATGGAGCCCTAGGTGCCTTTAACCCTGAATCCTGAGCCCGCAAACCCCAGACCTTCAACCCCAAGCCCTAGACCCAAAACTCTGCAAACCCTGAACCCTAAACCCTAAACCCTAAGCCCTAGACCCAAAACTCTGCAAACCCTGAACCCTAAACCCTAAACCCCAAACCCTAAACCCTAAACCAGCAGAGGCACCATTGGGGACCTGGAAGTAGCCCATTAGGCCGAGGGTGCCTTCGTTCAAGGAGGGCCGCTCTGGGGGTTTAGGGTTTAGGGTTTAGGGTTTAGGGTTTGGGTTTAGGGTTTAGGGTTTAGGGTTTAGGGTTTAGGGTTTAGGGTTTAGGGTTTAGGGTTTAGGGTTTAGGGTTTAGGGTTTAGGGTTTAGGGGTTAGGGTTTAGGTTAGGGTTTAGGGTTTAGGGTTTAGGGTTTAGGGTTTAGGGTTTAGGGTTTAGGGTTTAGGGTTTAGGGTTTAGGGTTTAGGGTTTAGGGTTTAGGGTTTAGGGTTTAGGGTTTAGGGTTTAGGGTTTAGGGGGCGACTGGAAGGCTCAGGGGTACTTGTAAGTAGGGCTGTAAGGCTATCACCAAAGCGAATTATACTCTGCTTAGAGCCCTACTTATAAGTACCCAAGCGAACCAGCAAGTAGGGCTTTGGGGGCTTCCGGGCGTGGTTTCGGGCACTTAGAACCCTGCTTGTAAGTACCCAAGTGAACCTCCAAGTAGGGTTTTGAGGACTAGGAGGGTTCAAGGCCCTTTGAGGGTTCCCTGCGCGGGCATGCGATGTCTGGTGTGTGCGAAAACGTGTTGTTCCCTCCCAAGGCTCTCCAGGGAAACTCTTGGTTGCCCCCCCCAAAAAAAATCAGAAAATCTAGCCCAAAAGCGCGGAGCACCTTGTGGTGTGGGGTTTAGGATGTTTAGGGTTGGGGTTAGGGGTTTGGGGTTTGGGTTTTGGGGTCAGGGGCCCTGAGGAGACTCCCCACGTGCAGATGCAGATGCTGGCGATCGTGAGGCCGACAATCCTGAGACCACAGATGCTTGGCTAGGGCTTTCAGGGCCCCAGAACCCTAAACCCTGAACCCTAAGCCCTGGGCATGTTATCGTGGTGTAAGACCATAAGCCCCCTAAAGCTGCGACGAATGATAACCTGTCTTGCAACACCAGGTTGCTGGGTCGCTGTCAAGGAACCGAAATTACAGTGACCACAATTTAACAGGCTCAGGTAACTTTACTCAGGCTCCTCAGAATACTCGACGCATGGGGGGGCTTCCAAGGGACCCCTCATAAAACCCCCCCCCCCCCCCAAATAGTAAGATCCACTGATAATAAGGTACCCCGAATGCTGGAAAAACCATATAGTAAGCTCCGAAGTACTCATATGGGTGCTTCCGAAATTAGGGGCACCTTATTGGGGTTCTTACAAGGGATCTTACAATTTGGGGGTCTGAAACCCCCGTATAGTGGAAGAATGTCTCCACTATGATCCTGCAGCCTGTGGGGGATTTGGCATTGGTTGATCGTTGGCCTTTACCCCAAAGGCCCAAAAGCCTAAACTCCACTGCTTGCCTGGGATGGCATTACACTAAACCCATAACGGCATGGGGGGGCGGGGGGGGGGGGGGGGGGGGGGGGGGGGGGGGGGGTGGGGGGTAGGTCAGGATTTGGGACACAGGGGTGTATTTGGGGAATCGAGCTCTGTAAGTAGCCCCTTGAACCTTGGACCCTGAACCCTAAACCCTAAACCGTTGTAGACCCATGAGGACCTTTGGTCATCTAGGGTATACAGAGATTAGGGACCATCAATACTGTAGCCGGGCCCTCATGCAGCTCGGCCGCAGCACGGCCACCATGGAGAGGAACACGCCGGAATGGACAGCGTCGCATTTCCCGATCATGATCTCAGTATGGCGGGGGTCACTGGGAGAACGACTATAAAACTCGGCACACAGACCCATACTTGGGACGCTGACAAGCCTTCCTGGCAACATCAACTATCGCGTGTTACTTCACACACTTCAACGTCAGAACAGCTTCAACATCCCACAGTACCCTCGAAAGCCTGCCACTCAGGGCATCCACGATACCAGTGAACGTATAGACTATAGGTATTCGACACGGCGAGAGATACCCCTCAGCATGATTTGTAGTATGCGCCAATCCACATCCATCACTTAAATTGTCAGAAGTGTTGCCCACCCAGCCAGACTAGAAAGACTGCTGCAGAAAGTCGCGAGGTGACGTGGAATTCGGAATTCGAAGGGGGTTCTTTGCATTAGAGGAATGCTGCTACCCTACACCCTCAAAGCCTAAAGCCTCCTTCCTCTGAGTACGTGCCAGCCGAAAGGCAGCGCAGTACACCTGGGACCAATGTGCTGTTTTCTTGGTGGGTGTGGTATTGAGAATGTTGTCACCGAGTTTCTGGCCCACCTTATGCAAAATCTGCGAAAAACCACTGCAATATGCCAAACCTGTGACTCCCAAACCCTACAAAAGAGTAGGTCATAACCCTCTAAACATATGGCATTCACACCCAGAATAGTAGGGAAATGGAGCCCCAGGAACGACACACTACAAGATTTGGTATTCTTACAGGGTGCTCGTGGGTGGCAGGGGCTGCCACACTAGCAGCCTAGGGTTCCAGCGTGCGATTGGGAGGGTTTAGGGTTTAGGGCTTATATAGGGTTTAGGTTTTCTTGTTTAAGGCTTACGTTAGGGCAGTCTCAACCCTAAACCCCAGAAAATGGAGTGAGAAGACTACTGAGCATCCTTGGTCTTATCCCGGCCAAAAAACCCCCCAAAGTCTGGAAGCCCTTAGCCTCAAAGTACGCAAGGACTCAGCGTTGAGGGTGTTATTGGGTTTAGAGCTTGGTTTGTAAAGCTTTTCAGAAATTAGGGCCGGTTTTGGGCTTAGGCCTGAAAATCTAGGGTTCAGGGGTTTAGGGCTTCGGATTTAGGGTCCAGGACCTCGTACTTGGAGCTTTATGGGTTGCTGCATCAATGATCTAACTTTGTGGGGAGGAAGGCAAAGTGGAAGGAGAACCTGGAGACATACCCGTGACTCCCAAGCCCTACAATATAGTGGGTTATCTATCTATCTATCGATCTATGTATCTATACGTATATAGGGCAGAACCCGCAAACAAGTAGAATTGAAACTTGATCCAAATGTGTCCCAGAGTAGTTCGAGGCACAAGAAAATAAAACAAAAAGTAATTCATGGATACAGCAGGTGATCAGCGCCACTTCAAAAAGATCCAGAAAATTGTATGTATATGTGTGTGTGTGTGCGCGCGCGTGTGTTTGTTTGTTTGTTTGTTTGCGTGTTTGTTTATTTGCGTGTTTGCGCGTCTGTTTGTTTGTGTGTTTGTTTGTTTGTTTGTTTGTTTGTTTGTTTGTTTGTTTGTTTGTTTGTTTGTTTGTTTGTTTGTTTGTTTGTTTGTTTGTTTGTTTGTGTGTGTGTGTGTGTGTCTGCCTGTCGGGCTTTGGTTTAAATATTGCCGAACTTTACATCTAGTTACTGGTTAGGCCCACACTCATGTCTTCTGTTCGTGTACAGGCTACTCTCTTGTAGTCCAGAATATTGGAACCGGCCTGTCATGGCTTGGGCGGAGTGGCTTGGATGGAAATCTCACCGTTGGTCAGGCATGCTCCCACGTCAGCGGGTTGAAGCTTCAAGGCTATCTCATCAAACTGCAACTTAATCAAAGGGGTTTCAAGATTCAACGCTACTTATCGAGAACTAGTGGCTAGTTCTTGATGTATGCAGGAGCGAGATCTTATTCTATTTGTTCATATCCGAGAGCCTCGAACTTAAATAGAGACAGCATGAGAAAGACCATTCCAAGTCGGCTTAGGGTTTAGGGTTTCAGGCCTTAGTGATCCCCATTTCCTGGGGTAGTTTTGGGGGCCCTGTAAACATCAAATTTTTGGGGCGGTATAAGGATTAGATGGGGATAACGGCGCAAAACAAAATAAGCATATGTTCAAACCTACCCCTGTAAACCCTAGACATCATGCCTAAAAAACCATGCCGGGTCGGTTTGGGGTTCAGGGTTTCAGTGCCACTTCGCCGAGGTGCAATGATCACCCCATAGGAGGCCGTTAGCTTGCCTTGGTCGCCCAGTAACCAGTTACCCTTTTTTTGGGGCTGGGTCACTTTATGAGGGAACCAAGAACCCCAAAAAGGGCAACAGGGTACGAAGTTGGCGTGCCGCAGGAGCGGAGCCGTCGGTGAAAGCTGCACCAGACGAACTGCTTCGGGGCGCCCTAAGCCCTAAGCCCTAGGCCCTAAACCCTCAACCCTAGGGTTAGGGCGACGATTGTTGGGGGTTTCTGGAGCTGAAATCCCTGCAAAGTATGCCGAGCAGACCCGTGTCCGGCGCTCCAACTTCAAATCGAAGCCACAGCTGCTCTATTGGGCAGCCCCGAAAAGGCTATGAAAACCACAAGTCTGGAACCTGAGCTCTCCCACGAAGGAACCCCTAAGGTAGGATTTAGGGTTTAGGGTTTAGGGTCTGGGGTTTGGTGTTTAGGGTTTGGTGATGTCCCGAACCCTACACACACCCCAAGCCCAAAAATCAAGAAAGGGTCCTGGTCTCTCTTACCTACTAGGTAGGGTTTAGGCGGTTTGGGGTTTGAGGTTATGGGTTTAGGGTTCAGGGGTTTAGGGTTCAGGGGTTTAGGGTAAGGATTTAGGGTTTAGACACCTGCTTTTCACCCTACTGGGCCGACTTCTAGTATAGCTACCCGTGAGCCTCCAAGTAAGAAGCCTAAAACTAAACCCTAAACCTAAACCCTAAACCTAAACCCTAAACCCTAAACCCCAAACCCCAAACCCTAAACCCTACCAAGTAGTTGTAGGGCGGTCGGGCGACTGATGTCTCCTCGGATGGCATTGCCGAACTCATCGCCCAGGGATCGCTGGAACAAGCCTGGGACCAATGACCTACGGGTTTAGGGTTTAGGGCTTCACCCTCAACCCTAATCGACCCTTCTTAACATGGAATTAGAGGGAGCTAGGTTAAACGGGGGACATAATGTACCTAACTCAGGCAAAGCCGCATACCTGGAACATGTGAAAGCCCAAGATGGCCCTCAAAACCCTCGGAAAAATATTCCTACATCTAATCCTCTTAAGCCCAATAAGGCAAAATCTTATCCCAAGGGCATACCCAGAAGCTGCACTATGTAAATCTGGAAGCACAGACCCCACATATTGAATAGTAGGCCCCTCCAGGAGGGCACGTCCGCACAATGGCCCCATCATTTCGAACCACGCGGTCCCTTTAAGAAATGTTAGTGTGCGGGGTCTAGGGTTTAGGGTTTAGGGTGCAGGGTCTAGGGTCCCATGTAAACCCAAATCCGGACATATTTTGACTACCGCTTAAACCCTAAAACCGAAGCTACTCTTTGCTGAAAAAAGCCCTCCCGAAGAATGGAAAAGTGTATAAGCGCAGTATATGGATTCTTGTCTTTTGCCTTTGGGTGGTTCTCAAGCACATAGTAGTCAACCCCCCCCAAAACCCTAAACCCTAGCCCTAAACCCGAAACCCTAAAAAGCAGACCTATCTTCCCTAAACCATAAACCCTAGCCCCCCAAGAAAGTCAAAAACAAACCCCTCTCCCCCAAAAAAAAGAAAAAGAAGTCGGGTCGCCGTTGAACTTGAGCAGCGGGTCCGGCTGGCAATCGAGCTTCGGCTCGGCGCGGGTGTCGGCGTTGATACCCATTCTCGGCTCAAGAGGGTTTAGGGTTTAGGGTTTAGGGTTTAGGGTTTAGGGTTTGGGGTTTAGGGCTTAGGGTTGAGGGTTGAGGGTTGAGGGTTGAGCGTCTAGGGCTTCGGGATTCGGCGGTCTGGGTTTCGGGGTTTGAGGGCTTGCGAACGTTCGCGCCTCATGGTAAAGGGATCCTAACTTGTTCCTGTAAGGTTGCACCGTAAAGGGTTCCATGGACCTACTCCCAATATGGCCCCTCTACATGTAACTCTATATATATATATATATATATATATATATATTAATTAGTATATTAGATGCCCTGAACTCTAAATCCTAAGGCCCTAAACCCTAACCCCAAAAATCTCCATTTGGCTGCAGTGGTCCCTAGAACCTGTTGGGCAAGCATTCTTTCGAGCGGACTGACATTCTCCCCCTCAGCCTTCGTGGGGCTTTAGGGTCTAGGGTTTAGGGTTCTGTATGCACCCTTAGCTAAAACCAAGATACCATAATGGAGAACACCCCTAAACCCTAAACCCTAAACCCTAAACCCAAAAAAACAAAACAGAATTGTCCACCAGGTCCAGGTCTCAAGCACAAAGCACGCCGCTCCCACTCATCAGCCACAGGATCCGTCCGTCCCTCGGTCGGGCAGAACAGCTCCTCAGTGTTCCGGAGTTCTGTCGCAGGTGCTGTCATGACATGGTGTTCCGGGCAGCAAAAAAACCAACCCTAAACCCGAAACCCTAAACCCTAAACCCTGAACCCTGAACCCTAAACCCTAAACTAACTCGGACAACCAAGCCTAGGAACTTAGGTTGCTCATGGCCCCACCTGTAACCTACATACTTCCCGAGGAGTAAATGCTTCAGGGCATTCCGAAGACACCGTAAAGGCCCCAAAGCCATCTCATTCTCAGCCGTGAGGACACACTGATACAAAAAGCTACCCTAAAACTTGGAGGCCCCTGCCATTACAGGTACTTGGAGGTTCATAGGTGCTTACAAACTCAATTGCAAGTCTACTTCTACCCCTACTGAGAGGACTTGACAGGCTTAGGGGGCTTATAAGTGCAGTTATGATTGGTGTTATATGTACCCTGAACTCCCAAGTGCAGCGGACTTTTAGGCTCACGGGGCCTTCTCTATGCTAAGCCAAAAGGGCTACGGTGACACAAAGCTACCAAGACACTGAACAGACAAAACAAGGCCTCTACTTTCCTACACGCCTCCCGAGGGCGGCAGGACGAACTCAGCAACCGTTCGGCTGTCCGAGCTGGAAAATCGCTACCAGAGCGTAGCCGCTCAAGCCCTTCAGGCGTTCAGTGCCAAGTGATGTCTACCGTCTGTGTAGTGATAGTTCATTCCGCTGAGAAGCATCTGGATCCGGGTTCTTTCCAAAGGCTTCGTAAGAAGATCTGCCAACATCTCGTCGGTTCCCTTCTTGCCCAGCAGAATTCTCCCTGATGCAACAACATCCTGCACCCAAAGGAATACTGTATCAATGTGTTTCACACGTCCCAGTCCATGGCGAGAACCGATGGATAATCCGGTATTTGCATCCATCCATGCTTGGATGGGGAGAAGGATTCCCCAGTCCTTAAGAGTGGATTGCTCTCCAAGAGCATTGCATGAACCAGATACCAATCCATAGTATTCTGCCTCACCACTGCTTAGAGCAATGACAGCTTGGCTCTTACATCCGGTCTTGATGGTAGAGCCTCCAAGTCTAATGCAATAGCCTGTTGTGGATTTGCGGGACCGCAGGCACCCTGCGTGATCAGCATCCACCCAAAGCGTAAGTTTCGGGACACACGCTTGGTAGGGAAACAGGTGTACCAAACGCGGGTAGCTACGAAGATAGCGCGCCCCACGTTTGAGCATCATCAGATGCGCCGTGGTGGGACTTTTAAGTCCTTTGGCAAGCTCCTTTGCAAGCACCTGGAGATCTGGCCGGTCTTGCGATAGATAGGCCAAACGCATGCTCACAGAGCGGTACCACGAAGCATCCTCAGAGGATAACGGCTCGGCCTCCTCGACCTGCTCAATCCTCTCCTTTACCAAAGCCGTAGTAACCTTGGTGCCCTCACAGCCAACCTCCCTCAGGATTATGTCGACGTGTCGAGGGTCTGCTTCAAGCTCTATACCCCTGGAGGTCCACGACACCAAACGGTTGAGGATGTCGATGGACTGCTGGGTACCAACCATACCAGGCGGACCGAGGTAGCCACGAACTTCCACCGTCCAGTGTTTGCCCAGTTCTGCAGCAAACCACTCAAGCTCAGCCTTGGCTCCAAGGCCGGTGAAATCATCACCGTGAACTTCCACTCGAATTTCCTTTTCAGGATGGTAGTACAGACAGGAGTTGGAGCGCCCACGCACAAAGCCCAACTGAGTCATTACCTGCAGAATCGTCGCCTCCCAATTGGCTGGAGCATCTCGAGTTCCATAAAGGGACTTGCGCAGCAGGCCAACATACTTGGAGGTGTCCACGCCAGTTTCCGCAGGCAGCTCAATGAGCAAGCGTCGGCGAGCATCAGCCCAAAAATGCGCTTTCTTAATATCCATAAAGACCAAGCATTGGTCCTTTGGAAGATTGCGCATCTTTCCTTCCAGGTCTGGTGCCTTCTTTGTTGTTGCGAGGGCAAACAAAACACGCAGCGCGCTGATAGGCGGCATTGAGGCATAGAAGTCTTCCCATGTGGGCTGGTGCGCCTCCTGAGAGATGCCCCCTGGGTAACGCTTCTTAAGCTCTCTGGCCACAAGCCGGCTGCGGTACTTTGGGTTTGCCTCATCCTTCTTGTTGATGTCAACCCATCTTGTGGTGATGACCTTCTCTCCCTTAGGTCTAGGGATAACCTCCCAGACCCCCATCTCATTGATGGTTGAAACCTCCTCTTTGCGAGCCTCCTGCACAAGCTCTGGTCGAAGAGGTTTCCCCGACACATCGTCCCAATAAATAGGACGTCTCAAACTTTTCGTAGAGATCTGTGTCGAACTTTTCTTCACATACAGGATAGGGATCCCCAGTAACCGAAGCTAGGAACCCAGCTCGAAGAGATAGAAGAAAGTCAAGTATCATGTCTCCTTCTTCTCCTCCGCCTGGATGCGGCCGCTTCGAAGATGAAGCCGGCTCGGAAGCCGTCACCTCCATGGCCGCAGGAACCCCAGGATCGGGTCTCGGTGCTGAACCAGCACTCGAGTCTCCAGCATCCAAGCGGGCTCGTTTGGCCTCTTCGGCCTTAGGCTTCTTGGCGACCTGCGCCTCCTGAGCAGAAGCCCCTTCGGTGGCCCTCTTGGCCCCCGGTACAGCAGGAGAATCGGAGTCCGGAGGTGGATCACCAATCCTCAGTTTAGATCTCGGGGTCTCCTTCAACTTCGCCGCAGCTAGTCGCTTCTTTCCCTCGTCAGTCTTAGCCATCTCGCCGACCACCCGGCTTCTGCAAAACTCGGTGTGGTTAACACCCTCTCTAGAAATGCCCATCCGGATCAAGTCACAGGCAGGACAAGAAGCAGTGTAGCCATGTCGGTCGAGATCTTGCTGTCTCAGGTAAACTCTCTTCAAGAGCTCAGGCTTAGGCCCAGCCTCGACGTCAGTAGCCGGCTCGTCGGGCAACTCGGGCTCTATAGCCACGGCGGCGGGAAGCTTTGGAGCTTCGTCTGGACGTGCCGCCTTCTTGGGTTGAGGCGCCCATGGCGTCCCCTTCACCTTTTTAAACAACTCAACATCCCACCTCAGCTCTTTCGGCTTCCGGCGGGTAGACTGAACCACGACCACGCCATCTTCCGTGGCGATGATCTTTTCCGTAGTGCCAAGCCGAACACCACAGTATATACCAACTTGCCACCGGGGCTCCAGTTTGTGCTTTGTCCGCACCCGGTAGTCCACAGTTTCTCCCCAGGCAGGAAGGGCCACAGCCCAGTCACGTCCTTTTAAACGCCTGAAGGGGGTAAGTCCATCTTTCATGGTCTCGTCGTGGGAGAAGAGAGTATACATGCTCCCGGCATGTTCCACCAGCCAACCCAGAAGGGGGGACTTAGGATGGATACGCTCTCCCAGGCCCTTTTCACACGCATCCTTGTACGTGCGGCAGAGCCCTTGGGTTATCTCAACAGCGGCCTCGGCGTCGCCATTGCTCTTCCCATGATCATCGCCCTTGGGCGAGTGCTCCAGTTGTACACGCACTCCTGGTCGGGCAGCGAAAGAGTTCTTTACTGCCTCTGCCAACGCCCGAATGGAGCTCTCCTGGTCGCTTTTCAAAACCACACTCGGATATCCAAGAAACCGAATGTCCCGAGCCAAAGCGTGCTCCGGGTAAAAGTGTTCGACGCCCTTAGAGGGCACAAGGTGTGAAAACAAAGCTTTGCTCTGGCGGTCACGAACCACAAGGACAGGCATCTTTGCCCCACCGACAGCATCCGAAGGTAGCTCGCCAGGAGCTCCAAAGAAACCATAGTCTATGGATATTACCGGGACCTCCTCAGGGTCCTCAGGCCTGTTTACCCTATGGTGTGCAAAGCTTTTGCCGCGTCCTCGGACACAGTGAGAACACCAAGCCCGATAGGGGATGTGACTCACATTGTGAGCTTCTATCTCCTCCGGGTTTGGTAGAGCCGGTGCTCGCATGGGCTTCGCGGCTCTTCCTTCTGAAACTTCTGGCACGGGGGCTTTGTCGCCTCCAGCAACGGGGCCCGGTGCCTCGCCCTTGAAGGGGCCCAGTGGGCCTGTTGGCCCTCGGGGGCCCGAGCTGACGCAGCTCTGGACCCCACTGTTGTTTGGTCTTACAGGCGAGCATCGCCCCGCCCCACGAAAGGGTGGGGGCTTAGCTCGAAAAGGCTGTTGGCGGTGTCCATCCACACTGGAAGGACGTACACACCGTTCTTGAGGAAGATCCTGTGTTTCTTCCCCGTGGTCGTCTCGAGGTAGCTCACCTTGGGACCCAATTGCCCCGGGAGGTCACCTGCCCCACCGACAGGAGGGGCTGCGAGATCGCAGCCACCGAGGCCCGGATCTCCAAGGTCTCATCTCCCATGAGCCAGGCCTTAGTCTCCAGGGTCCCCTCGTTCTCGACCACGTTGCCGTCGGCCAGGCGGAAGCTGCTGTAGCCAACGGACTTCTTGAGTCTTGAGCTTCGTGCGGTCACCCAGAAGCTTTCGAGGAAGGGTGGTGGCGCTGGCCCCAGAGTCCACCACGAAGTCCACGCGGGTCCATCCCGGCGTCGCAGAAGGGGCCGAGCCACCACTAAGGGCAGCCAAGTGCCCAACCCTTCCTTTCACTCTTTCGGCCTTTTCGGCCTTCCTTCTTTGCTCTCTCTTCCGCTCTTTCCGGTGCTTCTTCTTCTTCGCCTCTGTGACCCTTTTCTCCGTAGGGGGTAAGGTCCTGGTCCGCGCCCGGACCTCAGGCAGCTCGGCGTGGGGGTCTTCTTGCAGCAATTTCTTTTCCAACCTTCCGGGAGAGAGGAGCAGCGGCCACCTCGTCCTTTAGCGCGCCTTCGGCCAAAGGGAAGACTTGGGTCTTCTTCCCGGACCCAGGTTGGTTGAAGCGAAGAGCCCAGGTAAGCTGTGCCCCCAGGTTCTCTCTTGTACGCTTCTCCTGGGTGCCCAAGCGGTGCTTAGAAGCACGCCGTCGGGACTTCTCCTTGAGGTAGGCAAGGCGACCTCCCATCTCCGCTTTGTCTCTCTCCTGGCGACTGGAGTAGTTTTCTCTCTCCCCTCTTCGCGTCGCCTTCTGCTCGTCCTTGAGGTTGCTCAGGACGATTTCGAGCTCCTTGAGCTCCGTCTGGATGGCCTCACGCGACGGGTCGTCCTCGGCAAGGTCGTCGAGGGACTTGGTCAGAGCATCCCGTCGGGCCACCCTAGCGTTGAGCATCTCGCCGAGCAGCACCGAGCGAGAAGCCTTGGTGACGCCATAAGCCGCAGGGGCCCGCGCCGAAGACGGCGCTGAGCCTCCTTGCTGCTCCCGCCGATGCGGCGGGACGTACTTCCCAGACGCCGTGGCCCTCTCAGGCTCTTCCGGCTCTGGGTTTGCAGTCCGGGACTCAGGCACCGAGCCTTTAGCCTTCTCACCCTTCTTGGCCCTCTTATGAGGGGGAACGTACTTCTCCACAGAAGGCTGTGGTTCCTCCTGGGGCTCCTGTGGTAGAGTCTTAGGCTCAGGCACACTGGCGGACCTCCGGCGAGGGAGAGGTGAGCGACCACGACCCTTCTTGGGTGGAGGTCCTTGAGGTTCGGCAGGCCTCGTCGTGCGCGTGTCCACTGTACTGGCACTGGCCTCCGGTGCTGCCTTTGACTTGGCCCTAAGCTCCCTCCGGTGCGGCGGGACGTAGGGCTTCTAGCTTGCTTAGGCAGCGGGCGATCCTCCTCCTCAGGTGGCGAAGTGCCTCGAGACTTCTTTGTCTTCTTCGGCAATGGCGGCTCCTCCTCCTCAGGGATGGGCGAAGTGTTCTTCGTCTTCTTCGGCTTGTTTCGCCCTGCCGCCGGTGACTGGGATCGGCTCACGGAACCCGAGGTGCCCGAACCACTGCCGTACCGATGCCCAGGCAGGTCACCTTCGGGCTCTACCCTAGCAGGGGTGCGCTTGAACCGGTCCTTCTTTTCTTTCCTGCCCCAGTCACCCCAGGCCTCTTCCGAAGTCTCCTGGGTCGTCTCCTCGACGACCTCGTCCTCGGCACTCTCGCTCTCGCTTTCTTCACCTTCCGAGTACAAGCTCTCGGGCACGTGTTTGGAGTAGTCGGGCTCCTCGGGAAGGTAAATCCACGTCGGGTCAGGGCCACAGTGTGCATCGGGGCCCTTACTTCACGAAGGGAGCTCGGACGTAGTACCCCTGTCGGGCCTCCCGGTCCCAAGCGGTCCACTGGTCCTTGTCAGGATGGCCCGGAGTGCCCAACTTCGACCACAAGTGGGCGTTGAGGCCGTCCTCGTTGTACCTTTTCTTTTGGCCCTTGCAGCCGGGGCAAGGACACCAGTAGGTGGTTTTACCATCCTTGTCCTTTCCCACAGCACACTGCGCCAGCGTCTCCGACCAGGGCTGCGACCACGCCCAGGACGAAGGTCCGAAGGCCGCTCGGCAGATCTGCCCCCGCGTCGGTGCAGGTGGGTCCGGTGCTGAATCAGCACTCGGCCCCAGCACGCACAGGTAGCCCAGATCGCCGTCTCCAGTGGGCTCCTCGCCCCCTTCTTCCTCCGGCCATTCTTGGCCGTCCGCGCCTTCGCCCTCGAGGGAATGGGCTTTGCCCTTACCAGGCTTGTTGCCCTTTCCCTTTCCTCCTTTTCCCTTGGACGGCTTGCCGCCTTTGGGGTCTTTCGGCGCTGGCGGCTTCCCAGTTCCACCGTTCTCCTTGGCGTACCAACAGTTGCTTTTGCGGTGGCCCTTTCTCTGGCACAGGCGGCACACGATGTCCTTGTCCGGGTTCCCTTGACCTTTGGCACCACCGCCCTTGCCGCCCTTGGTGTCCTTACCGCCCTTGCCCTTGCCCTTGAAGGCATCGAGTTCCATCGGCGTAGCGCCGCCGTCGTCCACCTTTGCAGCCTTCTGCTCGGTATACGAGATCACTTCGGCGCGGGCCTTCGCATACGTGTCCAGCCGAGCAATGTTCATCTCGAGGTGGTCCTCCAAGGTCTCGGGCACCATGCTCAGGAGGATAGTCACCTTCTGAGCATCCTCGAGGTCCTTGTTGCCTCTCTGAACGTACTCGGCGAGGTCGGCCTCCCACTTGTCGATGGAGGCCCGCAACTGCTCCAAAGTGAAGCGGGGCTGCACAAGGATGCGGCGAAGCAACCGCATATTGCTCCGAGCATTGCGCGGCTCATATACGTGGCAAAGCCGACGCCACGCATCCAGGCCACACCTCTTCCGGGCATTAAACACCACCGTGTAGGGCATCTCGCTAGTCAGCGAAATCAAGGCCACATGCAACTGGCGATCCACATCCACGGCCTCCGGCACCTTGTTCACGTACTCGGTGAGGGTGGACTCCTGGATCGTCTCGTCGCCCTTGTTGCGTGCCCAGTCCAGGCACTCCTGACCTTTGGTCGGAAACTGGGAGCTGAACCAGCTCTCGAACTTGTAACTCCAAGCTTTCCAAACCTTTCTCGCATCTTCGTGCGAGCCCTTCAGGATGTCGGGCTTTCCAACGCCCTTTATGTCCACCACGGAGGACTTCTTTGCCATGGCATCGAATGCCCTTACCTGGGCCTCAGCAGTTGCCCTTTGGGTGTTAACCTGCTCCTTCAAAGCGGCCTCCAGCAACTCGAACCTCCTGTTCGACTCCTGGCTCATCTGAGCCATCCCTGTCTGCACCTGCTGGAGGATTTGGCCGAAAATCATTTCAGCAGAGCCCTGTGCACCTGGTGCCGAAGTTGGGCTTCCACCAGGCGAAGCCATCACTTGTTCTTATAGAACTTCGAAAGGCGGTGGAGCACGGACCCTGACTGGCCCTGCAGGAGCTGGCCTATCGCGGCCCAAAGCCTCTGGAGCCTCCTCCACTTCCAGAGGTGCCTCAAAAGGCGAACCCACCTAGCCCTGGCCCGAGCCGATGCGGCTCTGAGCCTGAGCTGGTGGATTATCCACACCGATACGCCTCTGTTTCTCCGAGGTTCGGTTGCCACCCCCGTCCAGGAGGCACTGGATCCAGCCGCCTCACTTCGGCGGCTCCTGTTCCAGCGCTCCGCTACCATGCAGCGGACTTTTAGGCTCACGGGGCCTTCTCTATGCTAAGCCAAAAGGGCTACGGTGACACAAAGCTACCAAGACACTGAACAGACAAAACAAGGCCTCTACTTTCCTACACCAAGTAGGAACCCTAAACCCTAAACCCTCAACCCTAAACCCTAAACCCTGAAAGAAGAGTCCAGTTGGTTTGCAGCTTGGTGGCATTTTTGTTCAGCGCATAGAAGCCTTGCAGCGCGGGTGGCAGGAGGACTTCTCTGGTGCAAGGGAATAGGGCTTAGGCTTTAGGGTACCCAGTTTCAGTTGAAACGAGATCACGATGTAGAAGGCCCTAAACACCCAAAACCCCAAAACCCCAAAACCCTAAACCCTAAACCCATTCCAAACACCAAGACTTGTCATTAAGCAGACAGGCCCCTCAGGCCTGCGATATGCTTGCCGCCGGCATATCTCCAGTTGCTGTCCGAGACCTCACCCGAGCAGGAGTATGGGGTTTGGGTGTTTAGGGTTTGGGGTTCAGGGTCTGGGGTTTAGGGTTTAGGGTTATAGGGTTTAGGGGTTTCGGGTTTAGGGTTTGGGGGTTTCGGGTTTAGGGTTTAGGGTTTAGGGTTTGGGGTTTGGGGTTGAGGCTTTGCGGCTTAGGGTTTGGGGTTTGGGGTTTAGGGTTTGGGGTTTAGGGTTTAGGGTTCGGGATGTTCAGGGTCTAAGGGTTTGGGGGTTTAGGGTTTAGGGTTTGCGGTTTAGAGCTTGCGGCTTAGGGTTTGGGATTTTGTGGTTTGGGGTTTGGGGTTTAGGGTTTGGGGTTTGCCGTTTAAGGTTTGGGGTTTAGGGTTTGGGGTTTAGGGTTGGGTGTTAAAGTGGCTCTGTGGCTAAGGCACACAGCACAAGGCGCCCTGAAATTCTGCTGGAGCATCTCAAGCCTACCCGTGACGACCCTAAACCCTAAACTCTGAACCCTAAACCCTAAACCCCCAAAACCCAAATCCCAAACCCCAAACCCCAACCCCTAAACCCTAAACCCTGAACCCCAACTGCGGGAGAGGCCACAAGACCGCCCACCATGGTGTTGACCTTCGTCGGCTGGAACTGAAAGGCGCTCTCCTTGGCAGGGTTTGGGGTGTGTTAGGGTGTGGCGTTTAGGCTTTAGGGTTTAGGGCTTAGGGCTTAGGGTTTAGGGTGTAGGGTGTAGGGTTTAGGGTTTAGGGGTTTAGGGTCACCAAGCCCTTAAATACGTCGCCCTCTCAGAACTTAATCTCAAGAACGACTTCTGGACCATGGCAACTGAAGCGAGGTCTACTGAATTTAACAACAGAATGCGAGTTAAGCCCTAGAACCCCAAAACCTGAACCCTAAACCCTAAACCCTAAACCCTAAACCCTAAACCCTAAACCCTAAACCCTAAACCCTAAACCCTAAACCTAAACCCTGAACCCGAAAAACTGAACCCTAACTCTTGTTCAATTTTCTCAAACCTTTCGCGCAGCGGCAGGTGCTTGACCCGTGGCATTGACATCCTGTGCGATGGGCCAGGAAGCAGCAGACGGCTGAAGGTCTTGGAGTTTAGGGTTTAGGGTTTGGGGTTTAGGGCTTGGGATTTGGGGTTTAGGGTGTGCGGGTCAGGGGTGAGGGTGCAGGGAAGTTCCGGCACAATTTCGGCCCCAAACCCTAAACCCTGAAAGTGTTTAGGGTCTGATGCTACGGGAGGGACAGGCCTGAAAGCATTTGTTCTGGGTTTAGGGCTTACAGGGCTTTTGTGGTTGGGGTTTAAGGCTTCGAGGCTCAGTCATGCGAGGGTGTTCAGGCCTAAGCCCTAAGCTCATCTAAACTGTAGGGTTCCGCTGAGGAAGCCGGGCGCCTGCTGACAGGAAAAGTTGTTGCCAACCTGACCCAAATGCTGCTGGCGATATCAGCCCAGGGAGCGCTTAGTTCCCTAGGGTTGGGGGCTGAAGGTTCCGTAAACCCGAAGCCTTAAGCCAAAAAGCCTCCTAAATCCCTTCTCATGCCAGACCTTTGCTAGACCCAAGAGTGAACTGGGAATAAGAAGGGTGCCCTTTTTGGCTTTAAAGAGGCTTATAATGGGAACCTAAATCCTAACAAAAAAAGGGTTTAGGGTTTAGGGTTTAGGGTTTAGGGTTTAGGGTTTAGGGTGCCTGCTCTGGATCCAAGTATAATTGTGTCTGACACCGGCTTTCGGGAAAGTCGAGGAAGCGGCTTTGAATAAGCTGGCAGAGGGCTATGGGTGGGTCGGGTAGTCTAGGGTTTTGGGGTTGGTTTAGGGTTTAGGGTTTGGGGTTTACGTTTTAGGGTTAGGGTTTAGGGTTAGGGTGCAGAAAGTAGTACGTATTGGGTTTTGAGGGAAGGGGGTGCACTGGGGGTCTAGCCCAAGGTTCTCCAATACTCCCACTACGCCCTAAGGCTCCCTAGGCTTCCCTAAGGTTCCCTAAACCCTAAACCCTAAACCCTAAACCCTAAACCCTAAACCCTAAACCCTCCATGAATGAACTCCCCTCTCTACAAGGCCCTGTCCGTGTTGAGCTGCCCAGGGGGTGGCGTGGTGGTGGTGTCTGAGCTGCCTCGTGTCAACCAAACGTGTTAGGGCTAGGGTTTAGGGTTTAGGGTTTAGGGTTTAGGGTTTAGGGTTTAGGGATTAGGGATTAGGGATTAGGGATTAGGGATTAGGGTTTAGGGTTTAGGGTTTGGGGTTTAGGGTTTAGGGTTTAGGGTTTAGGGTTTAGGGGTTAGGGGTTAGGGGTTTAGGGTTTAGGGTTTAGGGCTTTTGGGGTTTTGGGGTTTTGGGGTTTAGGGTTTAGGGTTTAGGGGTTGAACACAACGTGAACCCTGAGCCTGCTGTGGTGTTGGGGTACAGTTTTTTTCTTAGGGTAGCTGCATGGTCCCTTAGTAGGCCCTTCAAAAGGGGACCCCTTATGTACGCCTTCTTTGCCCCATACAACCCAGGGGCCCATACTTCAGAACCCTAAACCCTAAACCCTTTAAAGGAGGGAACGGAACGTATTAAGGGCCCTTTTGTGACTACCCTCAGATTGTTGCTCTGGTCTCTACCTGCTTTTGAGTTCTACTTCTTAGGGTTTAGGGAGATGGGTTTAGGGTTACCCACTTTAGTTGCGTTGTCGTGTGAAGTTACCAAAACATACATACAACCAGACAGAGGAAACACAATTTCGGGCCTGTAGGTAGGCATCCTTTTAAGCAAGTCCTCCTGCGATGTTAAACCCTAAACCCTCAACCCTAAACCCTAAACCCTCATGCTTATGGAAGCATCATGCCCCATCGGCACTTCGCCCCAAAACCCTACTTGGAGGTTCATGGGTACGTAGAAGCAGGGTTCTAAACAACATAATAATAGTAATGGTAATAATAATCATATTAATAAAATATTAATAATGATAATAGTAATAAGAATAAAGTACCATCGTTACCCCACTTATACCTCTCTACTTGTAAGCACCCTAAGGACCCTCCAAGTGATAACCAAGGAGCCGAATGCACCGAGCTGGATGCAGCCGCGATCCTGCAATCATGGGGTCATGGAGCTTGCAGAGCCCTTGGGGCTTAGGGTCTTTCGGTGTTTAGGGTTTAGGGTTTAGGGTTTGGTGTTTGGGTTTAGGGCTTGGTGTTCATAGGGTTTGGGGCTTGGTCTTCGTAGGGTTAAGGAACATAACCTCCCCTATCCGTGTGTCACCACTATGGGGTTCCAGCCCTGAGGAGAAGGCAAGACTGCGAAGCGCCCGAGGCCGATTAGGGTTTAGGGTTTAGGGGTTTAGGGCTTAGGGTTTAGGGTTCAGGGTTTGGGTTTTGAGGTTGTAGGGTTTGAGGGCTTTGAGGGCTTTAGGGGTTCAGGTTTTTTGGGTTTCAGGGCTTTTGGGCTTTACGGTCTCAGGGTTTCAGGGTTTCAGGGTTTTAGGGTTTTGGGTTTTTGGGTTTTTGGGTTTGGGGTTCAGGGTGGGCCTACTCGCAGTGTGGACGACCATCACACTCTCGCCTAGGCGCGGGCGTGGCAGCGCGCACCGTCCCAGAAACTGTCGTCGCTTCTGGACTTCTGGGCTCGCGACATGCGACACTTCGTTGCTGAGCTCATAAGCCCCCCCAAAAAGTGCGCACTTTCAGTTCTATAGGGGATTGTAGTTTGGTAGCCCAATAACTATATCATAATGAGGGCACCAGTTTTTTTGGCTAGGTTCTTTTTTTTTTTATAAGGGAACCCATTACCAAGAAAAGGGTAAAGTGTACCACTGGGCTACCAAGATAGTATACCAAAAAAGTGTAGCGTGTGCTCACTCAGCTGCTAAGGAGATATCCGTTGCTTTTGGAGGTCTGGGCCTGCGAAATGGCCAGATTACGGATAATCCACAGATTCTGGCCAATAAATACTAAAGGCCGCACACATTTTCCTCACTTCAGGAACACACATTGGACACAGATTTTCCACAGAAACAAATCCTCAGACCCTTCTCAGACACTACCAGGATTCACAGACACAATGCTGAAGGCCTATTTCGGGTAGATAAGGTATAGTCAGGCCAGTGAAACTCTAAGCATCAAGCTGTTCCCACGATGCGCCCCCGCCTCCTCCTCCCTTGCCCCTTCCCCCCCCCCCCCCCCCGGAAAAAAAACACCAACACAACTGCGTACCCCAAAAATTTGTTTCCCAAAACATTCAGGGTGCCAATCGAGATTTATCCATTGGCGATACGGTTTCCTTCCAGAAGTTCCATTCCCGCGATTACCGGCTTAGGGGTGCAAGGCTTAGGGTTTAGGGTTTAGGGTTTAGGGGTTCGAGAGATATGTTTTTACCTCGACACAATTCGCACACACAATCAGGGGACATTGTCGTCCCCCCCGCCTGGCAGGTGAATTCGGGACATGGGCCCGCACGATATATCCCCTCACAGAGTCCTCACACGTTGCTCTGCTGCACAAGATAAGCCCTTAAATCCGAAATCTTGTACCCTTACTCTCAAAATAGCCCCAAAACCTTACATTCTAAGAAGGCCTTTTGGCCCCACAGACCCTAAAACAAGAGGCCGTAAAGCCTCAAAGATACAAATTAAACACAAGACGTCAGGTGCGAATCTGCTTCCAGGGGACCTATTCAAATTTCAAGGCCCTTCCGAAAGGATCGCGCCGGCTCCGACTCTGGGTCTTCATGGTGCGGTTTGGGGTCTAGGGCTCGGGTTTAGGGGTTTAGGGTTTAGGGTTCAGGGTTGAGGGTTGAGGGTTGAGGGTTTAGAAGCCGGTACGGAAACATCGAGTCCAGGTGCCTGAAGCCCGTCAAGCTGGGAGCCTTGGCGCGTGTCCTCCCCTGAGCCTGTTGAAGGTTCTTGTGGGTACTTAGAAGTAGGCCTTCAAGTATACTGCACATGGTATAACCATAGTTGCCCACTTGCAAGCCCTGAAAGGTTCATATGGGTGCTTCTAACTCGGGCCCGAGGTGCCCCTGAATAAGGTATAACCATTCTTACCCTACTCATAAAGCCCTCCTGAGAAACCCTAGCCGCTAAACCGTAATCCCCAGCGAAGGTTATAATCAATACCTAGTTGTTGAGTAGCCTGGGCCAAAAAAAGGCTAACCTTCCAATTCTGCTAGGATTCTGTATACCCCCGGAGGTGAAAAGTTACCGACTCAGCTACGAAGAATAGCCGCCTTTCTTGTCACCCTAAACCCTAAACCCTAACCCTAAACCCTAAACCCTAAACCCTAAACCCTAAGCCCTTCTTAGAAGCACCCTCCATGATGCAGCCGGATGGAAGGGGAAGCAGACAGGGCGCCCCGATCGCTCTCTGAGCCGACCCTTGCAGCGCCTATCAAAGCCCCCCGCATCTCTCACACACCAGGCCGGCCCTTGTAGGGTTTAGGGGTTTAGGGGTTTAGGGGTTTAGGGGTTTAGGGGTTTAGGGGTTTAGGGGTTTAGGGGTTTAGGGTTTAGGGTCAGGGTTTAGGGTTTAGGGTTTAGGGTTTAGGGTTTAGGGTTTAGGGTTTAGGGTTTAGGGTTCAGGGTTTAGGGTTTCGGGTTTAGGGTTGAGGGTTTTGGGTTTAGGGTCTCAGAACACTTCCGGAAAGACATATGGGGCTTGCATTCTGTAAGGCTTGCGTGCACATGTGGGGTATGGGGCTTATGGTAGGCTAGTCCTTGAAACTGGAGAAGCCTCACAAAGCAACATCACGCTACGCAGAGTTTCCAGTCAAGACGAAGGCCACCACCTAAGAAACTGCCAAAAATCAATACCCTCAGGCTCAAGCTAGCCCAAGAACCTTACATAAGAATGTCTTTTGGCCCAAAAACCCTAAAAGAAACGAGGCCTTAGAGTTTTAGGGATAGGGTGAAATCTATAAACATCTCAAGGGCCTCCCTAGCTGTGGCACAGAAGCTTCACAAAGATTTGCCGCATCCTCTGGCGCGCACAGGCGCAAGAAACGGCAGGTGCTGCGCGACGGGGATGTGGGTTTGGGGTTTAGGGTTGAGGGTTTAGGGGGGCTGTTCCTGGACCCCTATACCCTGATGCTCAACGTAAGCACAAAAACCTTCTGTCGCATGGCCTTTGGGCCAAACCTCCCTAAACCCGGGAGACTCGGGGATGCCAAGGTGATGAGGGGATGCAGTTTCTCGCGATGGCCAGCCCCCGCGCTTTTTGATTTGCACTTAACCAGCAAGAGGCTGGATCTAGTTCAGGGTTTAGGGTTTAGGGTTCCACAGTAACACATGAATCAGTCAAACAAACATGAATATTCCCAAGGTTCTCGGGTTTAGAGTTCGGGGTGGCGATACCCGAAGGCTCTAGAAGGCCTCTTATTTTAGGGGTTTGTGGGCCTCTTAGGCCTCTTATCTAAGGTTGTTGGGGGCGATTTTGAGCTTCAGGGGAAGAGAGAGCAGTGGGGCCATTGTATAAGAAAAATGGAACCTCTAAAGAAACAACAACGTAGTGCCACCAAAAAAGAACCACCGGGCTACCAAGATAATCCCAATCCCGGCTATTCTGCAAGCCATGGAAGCGTCAAGAGCGTGAACTTTGGCGTGGGCTGGTGACGCTGCGGTGACTTTGCAATCTTTGTGGTTGTGTTCTCGGACCTCAAATCCTGCACACTAACCCCTGGATCCTAAACCCTAAACCCTAAACCCTAAACCCTAAACCCTAAACCCTAAACCCTAAACTCTAAACCCTAAACCCTAAACCCTAAACTAGACTGCATATTTGATTTGGCAAGTGACGACGCGCAGTCTTGAGACTGTGAGTCCCTGCCATTCGACCAAATGCGAATGAAAGGAACCAGCCCTGCTAAGGAGATTTCCAGGCAGGCTCGGAGATTCGGGTTTAGGGTTTAGGGTCTAGGGTTTAGGGGTTTAGGGTTTAGGGTTTAGGGCTTCGGGTTTAGGGTTTAGGGTTTCGGGTTTCGGGTTTAGGGCTCAGAGAAGGAGACAGTCTGCATGAAATATTCCTCTAGGGTGCAGGGCGCAAGGAGACTAGCCTCCAGCAAGACCTCCTTCAAGCGGGCCTACGCAATAAACACTACTTTGAAAAAAGCAAACTTCACAACAATGCATATATTCGCCTGGACTCTGTCTGACAACAACTTGGCAGCGCACCTCCACCTATATTGACTTAATCCATAACTGCGGCCGAATAGGCATTCACATTGTTATGCTCTTGTCTAGAATAGATTAGAATGTTACATGGTTAAAGCGCTTGTGTAAATCTATTCTGATAAGTTGCATGATTCTGCTGTGACTAGAAATACTATGTCGTTATGTTGATCTATTCATTTTCGTAGCTAGATATGAGTAAATAGCTAAACTATCATTATCAACCACTGTCACTGTATGGGTGTATTGATACACGAGTACATCGTACTTTCAGACTAAAGGATTGATGAGATATTTCTATATGATGTTACTATGTTCTTTTGTAATTTACATACTCATGTTACCCTACTATCGCACCATTACATATTTGTATACTTTAAACCATGATGACAATACATTGCAGTAATCTATAGGACTATCTTATTGTGCTCTTCTATCAAATTGACAGTACTACTATAGGTTTATGTTGTATTATTACATGACTACACGAATATATTCTTAGAATAATCTAACATTCCAGTACTATATTCTTCGACTACTATGTGATTCTACCACAAAACAGTTCTGCTATGGTAGTACGCTAATAAACAAGCTATTGCAAACAATGATGTTGTAAAATGAACTACACTATTCTCATATACACATATAAAAAATATGTATATATACATACAAATGTATACATACATATTTTTGACTATATTGTTCTACGACCTTGCCGCTATGTTCTATTATTCTACGAAGATATGATGCTATTATCATTTACAGAAAGGGACGCACTGCGGGCCTGCGTTTTGAGGGTTCGTATCTTTCAGGTCTAGAAAACTGCAATGAATAGATGAACTCTATGTGGCATTCTACGGGAGCTACAGGTGAAGCTGGGAATAAACACCGCTGAATACAGCAGAGCACACGCCAAGAAATCCGTTTAGGG